GGTCCTGGGATCGAGCCCCGCATCGGGCTTTCTGCTTGGCGGGGAGCCTGTTTCCTCCTCTCTCTCTGCCTGCCTCTCTGCCTACTTGTGATCTCTGCCTGTCAAATAAATAAATAAAATCTTAAAAAAACAAAACTGTTTTTAAAAAAATGATCCAATGATATTGGAAAATGTCCAAATGGAAATTGGAAAGGGAGCAAGTTTCACCGCGGTGTCACAGCATATGCTGCCTTTAAAAACACACGCATGTATCACCCCAGACGTGTAGATACCCCACACGGTGCAGAGGAGAACATCACAGACGAGAGAAACCACAGCGCCAGCAATCCCCACATCTGTGGGAGGCTGCGTTCGAGGCAACTGCACGATCTCATTGACACACGTCCGTATAGTCTTAGCTTTTCACAGAATGTGCATAGTTTGTGTAAAGAGGCCGACGGCAGGGAGGGCGGCTGAACCCAGCACCTTTCACATGGTCTGCTCCACCCGGGTTCAGTTCTGGATCCGTCCCACATGAGCTGTTCTCTGTGAGTCTAGGTCTATCGTCATGTAGGGAACCTGCGACCGCAGGGTGCTCCTAACCCGAACGAGAAAGGCAGGAGCTGTAAGAAATGGCACCGATGGAACCCTCCCCCGCCCGAATGTCTCATCCTCCGCACAGGAAATCCACAGGAGCCTCTGAGGGAGGGAGGGGGTGACTGCTTCTTCTTCCAGCAGAGGAGCAGCTAAACGCCATGTCCAAGGTGACCCTGCCTCTGGGTGGAGGCTCAGAGTTAGCATCCAGTCTAACTCAGGGATCTAATTCAGCTCAACCCCCTCCGTGGCCTCGCGCGGCTCTGCAGACTAGACGCATGCGCCGGTGTGGACGTCTCCACCTGGACCTGGCCTGGGGAGGTGCTCGGTCAGGCTTTGCCCTGCGTTTTCCTCCATCCCCGTACTGAGGAGCAGCTCCCACACACCCCGTGGAGACCAGGCCTCTGAGCAGCGCTGCATTGGGCCAGAATCTGTTCAACCCCACACTGAAAGGCTGCATCTCATCTGGTCCTGGAAGGTGGGGGCTCCGAGGCAGGTGCTACCCAGCACTGTCCTCCTTCCCCCCACCTGCCTGCCCTCACCTTTGCACGCACGTCTCATGCGCCCAGAGTGTGACCAGCAGCTGACACAAACAGCTCCTGCCTCAGGGCAGTGGCAAGCAATGTGGCCTCTGAGACGCGTCCTAGAGACCAGATGGCCAAGGACATGACCCCAGCAGACCATGGTCAAGGTCTGGTGCACATGAAAGCACAAGGGAAATGGCTGGAAACTGTACCTACTGCTCCTAGGACGCGTGTAGCGGCAAAACAACGCAGCCTCCCTTAAGTGAATGATCACACAGAATAAAAATAAATAAATAAATTAATAATAATAAATAAATAAAATAATATGCCTGCCCCTTCGAGCCCCCTTCCCTGTCAGTTGCAAAGATTCTCAACATTTACTTGGTGCTTTTCTTTTTTATTCTTATTTAACGCATAATGTTTTACTTGCTTCGGGGGTACAGGTGTGTGGCTCATCCGTCTTACACAACGCACAACGCTCCCCACAACCCATGCCCTCCCCAGGGTCCGTCACCCCACCACCACTGGGCGGCTGCTCTCCCACTGCCAAAGCCCCCTCCCTGGTCTGAGGCTTTCTGGGGCTGGGGCTTCTCACGGCGGCTGCTTGGGACCCTGCCCCTGGGGGCTTTCAGCCACACGGCGAGGCAGCCTGTACCCTAACACCACCTTGAACACGCAGGAGGACAGGAAACATCGTCGATGCAGGGCCGAGGATGGAAGAATGGAGCCTGAGCACGCAGGTGCCAGAAATGAAGAAGCAGCTCCGCCCGAGGTGGAGGAGAAGTGATTCAGTGGGAGGCGGCCAGAAACCAGGGGCGACCTGGAGCCCCGGGACTGGAGGCCAGGATGTCCGTGTCCACTCAGGCGGGGCCGATGTCACTGCTCTCACAACCTCACCAGCCGGCAAACCCAGTAGACACTCTGGAATGCTTTGTTCCCATACAAAGTTTTCCGCATTTGGTCGCCCCCCAATGTTCCCTTCCCTGACTCCCATCCCCATTCTCCTGGTTTTCTCTCGTGCTCCCTTAAATGTCCGTCTTCTCTGGGATTTGCTAAAAAAACCTTCCTTCCCTACAGATTTCACTCACTACCACGGCCCCCTTTACCATTTTTCTGCAAATCCCCTGCCTTCCGAGAGCCGACACCCTCCCCTCTGCCACCAGGCAGCACAACCCAACAACCATCCCGAACGCCTCCTGCTCGGAGCAGCTCCTAGCGAGGGAGGGTGTAGGGTATGAACACCCCTGCGTCCACATCCCCTGGCCTGGGGAACTCCGGCCCTTGCCTTCCCAAATGCCCCCCGCAATTCAGCTCTGCATGTCCCCTGTGGCCTTAATATCACATGTCTTATCTGCCGTCCTGCTCCCCCCCCATTACTTCTCTCCTCACTAATAATCCTTACACCTCCTGGTCGCTCGGTTCACTTGTGCCTCTAGGGAAACCTAAAGCTCCTTCTGCTCACACATTCATGTAGCCATCATTTCCCCCATCAGACACAGGCCCCTCCCCTCCGCAGGTGCTGAGTACGTGAGGGTCTTGCTTTTCCAGACTCCCTTGCAGCTGGTCCTGTGACTGAGGCTCTGCCAACCAGGCCCAGGGCTGGTGGGACAGTGGGACCAGTGGTGGGGCTCAGGGTGGGAGGGGCAGGGAAAGGGGACTCCTGATGCCAACCCCCCCTCCACCTATCTCTCTATCTCTCAGTCTATGTGTGCCTCTGTCCCTCTGTCCTTCTCTCTGGCAGGCCTGCCATGGAAGTAGCCAGAAGGTGCTGCTTTGGTATAGATGGGACTCTGCCGGTGGTGGTGAAGGCCAGCTCCTGGCGTCTCGCGCACAGCGGCCACAGCACACGGGCTGCCTCAGACCAGATCTGTGGCATAGGTCGGATACTCTTCCTGGAAGCTGAGCTCCAAGCAGATTCTCCAGGCCCCGCATTGATCCCGAGAGCTACCCACTGCCCTCTCGGGAAACTCCTCTCTTGCGTAGTCAGCCAGAGCTGCTTCTGTTGCTCACAAATAAGAATACTGACCAAGACATTAGGAGAGCTGTTGTTTGTAGAATTATAAAAATTAATAATAAAGAGAACATTTAAAACATCTTTAGAATTGATGAGAACTTGAGAGATCCTCAGATAGCAGCTAACACAACGCCCCAGTCTGACAATCGAGGGCTGGATACTCCAATCCTTGCAGCTCAGGAAGACTGAGCCCCATCTGGAAACCAGGCCTGCGGACTCCCAGAGGCCACACCAGGGGCTCGCTTCCTGGGAAGCCGTAGTGGACAACTTCCTAGGAACAGATGTCCAGTTGGAAAAGAGAAAGGCTGGAGAGGAAAAGATGCTCCACACCACAGGTCATCAGGGAAATGCTAATTAGAACAGGAGCTGGTCCTCCCCACCTGCGAGAGTGGCCCCGATCTGGAAGCACCGACAACAGCAAATGCTGACCAGGATGTGGAGCAACGGGAACTCAGCACTGGGGAAACGCCAAAATGGCACAGGTTCCTTGGAAGACGGCTCAGCAGGTTCTAACAAAACGAAATAACCTTCAACCATACAATCTAGCAATAGCACTTCCTGACATTCACACACACAAGCTGAAAACTGACGTCCACACAAAAACCTGACACAGGTGTTTATGCAACTGCACTCGTCATTGCCAAAGCCTGGCAGTAAGCAGGATGTCCTCAGTCAGTGGACGGAGATGTACCCTGTGGTTCACTCAGACACTGGAATGCTGTGAGGCACTAAGGAGAGATGAGCTATCAAGGCGTGAGAAGACATGGAGGGACCTTCCATGCACGTCCCCAGGTGAGAGAAGCCGGTCTGGAAAGGCTGCATAGGTCTCGTTCCACCCATAGGACGTTCCGGAAGAGGCAAAGCTATGGAGACAGGAGAGAGTGGTTGAGGGGGTTAGGGGGAGGGAGGAATGAAGAGGTGGAGCCCCGAGGATTTTTAGGGCACAGATACTACCTGCGTGACACTGTGATGGTGAATGTGTGTCATCATACCTTTGTCCACACCCCTAGAATGCACAACACCAAGCGTGAACCTTAATGCAAACTGTGGACTCCAGCTCCTAACGATGTGTAGATGTTCGTCAGTGGTAACAAGTATGCCCCCTGCGGAGGAGGTCAGGGAGTAGGAGAGAGGGGGTCAGGGAGTAGATGGGAAACCTCTGTACCTGCTCCTAAATTTTGCAGTGTACCAGCAACTGCTCTAAAAAAATAAAGTCTTGATGAAAAAAACCATTAAGTGATAGAAGAGGCTGGTAGATTTAAAAAGATTTGCGAGACACACACATTAGAAAGAAGAAGGAGGAGGGAGGAAGGGCTGGCATTGGTTAGTCAAGGAGAGCATGTACCCCAGGAGCAGAGAATTTTGAGAAAGAAAATTCCACCCTGAAGGTTAAGTGAAAAGCAAGCAGCTGGACTTTTGTCAGGGATGAGGGTGTCCTCTGGGACCATGGCACAGAGAACACAGCTCAGCGACAGAGACTCGCACGGCTGGGCTGGGGGCTGGGCAGCCCCTTGCGCAGTGTCCCCCCCGAGGCCACCTCCTCCAGCTTTCTAAGCTGCCCCACCACGGGCCTGCTAGCCTGGGCTGCCTCCTTCAGGAAGCCCACCTGCATTACCCAGCCTCAAAAACCAAACCGAACCGGTCAGAGGAGCCAACTGGGGGTGTTCCGGGCTGAGAGCTGAATCCAGCCGCAGCTGGACAGAGAAAAGTGTGTGCACGTGACTCCCGGACTACTCAGGGCAAACGGCGTGAGGGGTGGTTTATTAGAATTTCACTCCGGATTGCGACACCGCCCTTCAGATCACCTCTGCTATTGTGCAAGTGCCGCCCTATAAATACGGAGACACTCCCGGCTTTGGAAGCCTCTGTCAGCTCAGCCTCCAAGGAGCCTCTCTGCCTTCCCCGGGCATCCCGGCCGGCCTCCCAGCCGCCATGAGGGCTCTCTCCTTCCTGCTGCTGATTCTGTGCCTCGTCTCCTCCCACCTGGCTCCAGGTGAGCTGTAAGACCCTGCTCTAGCCCCTCGGGGCCAGGAATTGGGGGGCTGAGTTTAAGGACAGCTGCGTCTTGGGGCCTGGGGGTGGGGCAGCAGAAAAGCATCCCCAGAGCTGAGTGGCTGGCCTGGGGACACCTCAACGGGCAGGCCTGCTGAGCCTGGGCCTGGGGCTATCCCCCGACCCTCAGGGGTGAGCGTGCTGGGAGCACCCCAGGCTGACTCTCTCCGGCCCACTGGGCAGTCCAGCCGCAGGAGAGACAGACCCAAGCCTCCCTCCCTGACTGTCCTGGGGCCTCCATGCCCTCGGTGCTGGGCAGGGACGCAGGGCTGGTCTCAGGCAGCTCCAGCATCCCCCGTCTCCATCTTTGTCTCGGACTTCTAGAAATCATCCCCAGTGGAAGGGGGCCTACGGACTCCCCCTGCAGCGTGACTCCCCCTGCAGCGTGGCTCCCCGCATCGAGGGGCCGGCTTCCTATCCAGGGGCGAGAGGTGTAGGCTGCCAGCCGGGGCTCACCCCGGTCCCTGGGTGGAGCCTCGCAGGTGGCCTGCTATAAGCAGGTGCCACCTGCCCCTCCCACAAAGCCAGCTCACCCTGCACCTTTGACTCACTTCGTGCGCGGGCAGTCCGCGGTGCACGGGTGGTCTTCGATCCTCCCTGGGAAATCCTCACGTGGTCTGCGGAGTGGGAAATCTGCCCAGGGCACAGGAGGGAGGTCTCCGTCGGGCCGGAAGACACCAGCTCCCCCGGCTCAGAACAGACGTGTAAGGGCAGGTGGGACGCTGCGGGTGGAAGCAACTGGGGGACATGTTCTGTCGTGGCCTCGGGCAAATTCTACATCCGGGGCCTCAGCTGTCTCATCTGCAGAATGAGGGGGCCGTGGCGGGTCGGGGGGGTCACTTAGAGCATGAATTCTGCTCCCAAGTTCCCTAAAAGATCCAACGGTGCTTTTCTGCATCGTACAGATCTGCTACATCTTCTCCAAGTACGACTCAGTCCCCCCATCTGGAAACTGGGTGCAAAAGCATTCTGAGGCAGAGTTTTAAGTTTCTAGCGGGGACCCATTCGAGGGGTGGAGAAATCGGTTTAGAGAGTCGCCACCACGGTTTTCTCAAAGAACCGAAAGTAGGAGGGCATGCCGCACAGTGAGCGTCCATGCTCTTACCACGCTCTGACTCCAGCCACACGGGCAGGTGTGCATTTGGGGCCAGAGGCTCTGCGAAATTTCTGGCTGCAGTTCAGCTCAAGCTCAGAAAAGCCTGAGAGCCACTATTGAACTTGAAGAGTTCGGCTGATCCCCTCAACATGGGACTGTGAGCATCTCATTCAAAGCAGAGAATGTGGAAGTGTTTCCGAGGATACACAGGAATGACTGAACTTACTGGTCCTTCCATACAGAAATATTAGCTACAACGTGACTGAACGCTGAGTATACCCAGGATTCGCTCAGAAACTCCCAGGAGAAGCTACCCTACACTGTCCTCTGACAACACGCAAGCCCTGTCTGCACAACACTGGTTCCCAGTCCGGGGATGGGACCAAGTTTATTGGAAGAGGAGCTGAGGGCTGCTTCCAGAAGATGCTGCTCGGGTCCCAGCCTCGCACTGTGACTCACCCTGAGCCCTCACGGGGGATCAGTTCACTCCCTTTTCTGGGAAAGCCATTAGGGCTCGGCTGCTCACCCCAGGGGGAACCAGGCCCACACGCCCCAAGGTGAATGACGGTTGCATGGTCCCTGCAGGAAACCATGACTGGGCACTCTCTTTTAGCAGTTTTTATCTCTGTAAAAAAAGGGGGGGGGTTTGCCCCTTTTATCTCATACAAATCTTATTTCCGTGAACACGGAATGATGTCCAAACGGCGAGACAGCTCAGTCCCCTGCATCAGCTGGATGAGAACCCAGCCAAGGGGTTTCGAAGTCAGGATCGTTTGGGGCTGCTCGCTCACTGACTCCACAAACATTTAGTTAATAGCTACTGTGTGCAGGCAATGCCCTGGAAAAGGGGAAGAGCCAGGAAACCACAGCCCTTGAAAGCATGACCTGACGTTCTAGAAGCAGAGCATGGCAAGAAACCCAATTTTGTAATTAATTATCTAATTACTATTGTGTTGTGAAATGCCATTAAGTACAGGGTGCTAAGGGATCGCGTGACAAGGGGACTGACAGGCCTGGAGGGGCCAGGAAGGCTCTCTTAAAGGACGGAGAAGTGAAGGAAAGATGGAAGTCATTTGGTGTCCACGGTATTTAAAAAAATTTTTTTTACTTCCTTCTTGACATTAGAAACTCAGGATGTGTCACATAAAATTCAGATTTGTGTCTTAAGAACACAAAAAATGAAGCCATACTCTAGGCCCAGAGGCAGTGAGCTGTCATGGGTGCCCCCCACCAGGCACTACAGACCCCACCGCTCCCTATCGCTCCGCTTAGCCTACTTCACCGACTTTTCCTATCTGCCTGCTGCTGTGGGGAGGTGTAGCTATGCAGCATGAGGCTGATCAGGGGAGAGCAAAGTGGCCCTGGGAATGCGGGGAGAACGTTCTCTGGTGGTTAGCCCTTCCCTGTAGCAAAACCAACCAAACCCACTGAGAGAGGCACGGGCCACTCCTTGGTACCCTCCTTCCTTTCTTTCTGGGACCCTGTGGGCACTCCTGGGCGCCTGGGCTTCAGTTTCCCCACCTTCAAAATGAAGGTTTGGCCAAAATGACGCCTGCTCATTCATCCTGTGACCCTCAGAGTCTGCCCTGCCTTGTCCACACCTGAGTGTCTCACTCTGGGATCCCCACCCCGACCTGCTAGCCTGAATTCCTTCCTCCAGTCTGACCTCTGGCAACAGTCACCAGGAATGTGTCTGCCATGGCCTCTGGGTCCCATGAGAAAAACATATTTCCCCTTGCCTCAGACACAAGGGCCCTGCGGCTACCAAACCAGGCCTCCCAGAAGCACGTGGTCTGCCTCATATGGGAAACTGAGCTGTGCCCACAGAATACCACACTTGGAGCGTGCCAGCCGAGAGGCATGTCTCTGAAAACCACCTCACGACATGTGTGATTTGTCCCCAGAGAGCTTCAGAAGACTCAGGGAGGGGCGCCTGGGTGGGCTAAGGGCCTGACTCTTGATTTCAGCTCAGGTCATGGCCCAGGGTCGCAAGATCGAGCCCCGCATGGGGCTCGCACTCAGCAGGCAGTCTGCTTCTCTCTCTCCCCCTCCCTCTAAATTAAATAAATAAAATCTTAAAAAAAGAACAAAGAAGCAGAAGATACCTGGAGATGAGGTCGGGTCCTCTCTAGCCTGCGCGGATGGCTCAAGCGCAGCAGCCTCCGAAGTGAACAAGCAGCCTCTGTCTCGATGCCCCACGGCCTCTGGGGCAGCCCTTCCCTGGCATGACGCCAGCCACCACCCTGTCCTGAGCGGGAAGGAGCCTCAGTTGACTTGCTGAGGCCCAGAGGGCTCTGATGAGCTATTTCTGCCGGTAAGACCAGGCTCCCCGGCTTCCCAGCACCGGGTCCCTGGACACCTCGCGGAGGCCGTGGGGCTCGGCGGCCAGCGCTGTGGAAACCCAGACCGCGTTCTCCTTGGGCTCTGAGTGTCTGTGTTTGCGCCTCACGCATCTCAGACTGACCCGTCCTGCAGGGGGTGTTCTGGCTGCTGATCTTCCCGCCAGCCTCCTGCCCTTCCACTGCAGGGGCCTGGGCAGGAAAGGAGGCGTGGATCCTGGCAAGGATCCTTTTCCAAAAACCCTTATCATTTTGGCAATTTACCTCAACTCAGCCTGGTGATGTTTTAGCCCAAGAAATTTGTAATTTTAGTCAATAGCTCTCCAGTTTTATCTTCCAACTCCCTCACTAGGAGCTCTGATTGTATGACACAAAGGGAACCTCGGTGCCTGCACTTAGAGCAGAATGGCCGAGAGCGAGGTCTGCTAGCAACCTGCTCACCGCTCTTCCAGTCCCGAGTTCTCCCCCCTGCTCTGTCCCCGCATCTCTGAAAGGCTCGCTAAGAAATTCTCTCTCCGTGGCTCCTCTATGCGAAGTCTAAGATCTCCCTCTGTGTTGACCTTTACGCCGTCCCCCCTCCTCTTCCCCGGCCACCAGCATCTGCCTGTGGCAGGTCATAGTCCAAGGCAGTAACACGGAACGGGGTGGTCCCTGCTTTCTGCAGATTTTCCGATGACCCTAAAAGTTCAGCGCTTCCTGTGCTCGCTGCCCAGAACCAGTCCTTCCCCGTCCTGTTCGCTTCCGTGACTGAACCCCTGGCACCCATTTCCTACTGAGTTTCCGAGTTTCCCGCCACTGAAGCCAACCGTCCTTCATCCAACCGACACCCGTTACGGTTCCTCCCACACCCCCCACCCCCACCGACAGCTGGTTTGCAGCTGCACTGAGGCGGGGTTTTGGACAATCCAGCTGTGTATGGCTCAAGAAATGTACATTGGAAAGAGTCCCTGTTTTCCCGCAAGCACCGAAACTGGAACAGACCCGCTTTCCCGCCAGGGAAAAGCAGTTCCTGCCTTGAAACGGGTCTCCTCTGCCACGTTCCTCTGGTGTGTGCGCTCCAGCGGCCCCACGGGATGTGCGGGGTCGCTGGTCTCAGGCCAGCTTCGTGAGCACCAGCGGGAATAAGCACCAAGTCCAAGGACATGTAGTCGCCCTTGGGAGAGCGGGGAGAAGAGAGGTGTGGGTTACCCATGGAGCTGTCAGGCAGCGAGCGCACAGAAGCGGACCGAAGAGGGAACTGGACCCATCCGGTGCGGGGTGGTCACAGCTCTGGGAATAGGCGGATGACCTTTTCAGAAGGAACTCTCACTTTTCTCTTTCTTTAACTGCAAAGTATTACACGCATCCTGAGAAGTGCAGAAACCAGGAATGTGCAGCTTAATGAATTATAAAACGAGTAGCCTGTGACCAGGGTGTAGGTCAAGAAGCAGGACTCAGCCGGCACCTAAGAAATCTCTCTCCAGGCTTCTCGGTCACCCACCCCTGGGCTTGACTCTTGTGGTAATAACTTCCCATATTTCTTAGACTTTTACCAGGTTAATACGCATGCTGAATAATACAGCTTGGTTTGTGTGTGCCTTTCAGTCGGCTGGTTACCAGGAAGAAGGGGATGTTGTGGGCCCTGGCATATGCTCATGTTTGATTATGATAGGTAGGTAGACAGATAATAGCGCAAGAAATTTGTAATCTTGATAGATGATGCCACACCATTCCCCAGTGGATGACAGTTCTCACGGCTCCGTACCCACGCCAATACTTGCCATTGTCAATCATTTTAAATTTTAGCTGTCTGGTGAGTATAGTGGTATCTCATTGGAATTTTAATTTGTGTTTTCCTGAGAAACACTAAGTTGAACACTTTTGTATACAGCTACCAGCCATTTGGATAGCTTTTATGATATGTGAAACTACGTGTCTCTATTTTCTATCAGATTATCTGTTTTTTTCTCGATGACTTGTAGTAGATCTTTGTGTATTCTTCAAGTAAGCCCTTTGTCAGCTATAACATTGCAAATCTCTTCTCCTCCCTTGTGCTATGAGTTTTCTCTCCTGATGGAAACTCCATACACAGAAGTTTGCATCATGATTATAATGTGGCTAAATGTGTCCTATCTTTCCCTTTATAGGCAATCCCTTTTGTATCTTAAGAAACCTTTTTTTATCCCCAAAACATGAAGAAAGTCTACAACTTTGTCTTCTGATGACTCATTATTTTTCATTTTTCATTTAGACTTATAATCCATTTTGCAATGGTTTTTAATGTGTGAGTTAAGAGTAAAGTTGTTTTTTTTTTTTTTAACATGAATCTCCAATCGTCCCAGAACCAGCTCTAAGGAGAGCATTTCCCTTCCTCCCCCACACTGCTCTCCTAAGGAGCTTGATTCTTCACACAGGTATAGGTCCCTTTCTGCACTCTTTATCCTTCCTGTTCCATTTGTACATCTGTCCTTTTGTCTTTACCAAACAGTCTAATTACAGTGGATCTATAATTAGCCTCGAAATCCAGTAAAGCAAGTCCTCCGACCTTCTTCTCCAAGAGTGTCTTGGCTATTCTTGGTCCTTTGAATTCCCACATAAATTTTAGAATAAGCTTGTCAAGAATCTCTTGATATTTTCATGTTATGGAGTTAAATCTACAGGTTAATTTGGGGGGAAATTAACATTTGAAAAATAATCTTCCAGTGCTTACACATAGCATTTCCATTTATTTTGTTCTTCTAGAACTCATCAAAGACTATTGTATTTCTTATATACAGGAGTATCGTATTTTCTTAGATTTATAACTAAGCATTTGATATTTCAATATGGTGATATATTTTAATTTCATTTTATCTGTTGGTTGCTAATGCACAGAAGTAAAATTGAGTTTTATACCGATCTTATATATAGCAAAATAGTTAAACTTTTTTATTAATTCCTTCTGGACTGTCTGCATATAATCATAATGCCTACAAATAGTGACAATGTTATTTCCTCCTTTTCAACCTATATAGATATATATATATTTTTTTCTCCTTCTGTTTTCCTTCTGTTCCTCCCCTGGCTGGTACCCTCAAGTAGAACATTCATTGCAATTGCTGACAGTCATTATGCTGGTCTTATTGCCCATCTCAGATGAAAAGTTTTCAGTGTTTGAGCATGAAGTGTACTGCTGGTAAGAGGCATCTGTGGATTTTTCTTTTTGAGATCAAGGAAGTTCTCTCCAGTTTCTTGTTTGTTAAAACCTTTTTATCATTAATCAAAGTTGATTTTTTCCAATGTTTTTCTGCACCTGTTGGGATGATCATGATTTATCTCCTTGAACTGTTAATAGGCATTGACTGACCTTCAAATGTTGAATGAAAGCTTAACTTTGTGTAATATACTGAACTTGGTTTTATTCTGTTTGCTGATATTTTGTATAGGATCTTAGCCTCTTTGAAGATCAGGGAGGTTGAGCTATAGGTTTCCTTTTCTTTCCTTGCATTGCTGATCTTTTTAGATGGTGCAATTAAGACCAAGTCGGCACCACACCATAAACTACGGAATGTTCTCTCTCTTGTTATTCTGAAAACCACTGTGCTCTGTAGACACTATTTCTTATATGTTGCTTGATAGGATTTGCTAATGAAGGCATCTTGGCCCAGAGTCTCACTTATGGACCCAGTTTCTTGGATCATTATGAGACTATTTATATTTTCTGTTTCTTATTTGTATATTGTAGTGAATTGTAGTTCTCTAAGAGTTTTTTTAATCTCAACTAAATTTTTACATTTGTTCAAGTGACTGTTCTATTTTTTCTATATGAATATAAGAATAGAAAAATATTTCCAGTTTTTCTATTTCCATGAACTATTCAAGTTTTTAAAATCCTAATAATTTTCATGTTTTATACTGGTAGAAGGCGCTGTCCGTGCTCTCCTTCCTGTCTCCTCCCAGCCTCGAGAAAGGCATTCCTTACCCTTAGTTCTGACTAAAATTTGAAAACCAGTGGTCCAGCAATTCTCGATTCTTTACTGACATTAGACACTTCTATGGGGTGCTATTTAAATGCCAGTAGCTCACCGCCACCACAGAGCAATTCAATCTATATTTTTAAGAGTAACCCGGGTGATTAAATGTGTATGCAGCATCGAGAACCACTGATCTACATCAGAGTTTCTCAACCTTGGTGCTATTGACATTTGGGGCCAGATAACTCTCTGTTCTGCACATCACTGGTCTCCCGCAGCACCTCTGGCCTCCACCCACTAGATGCCGGTAATGTCCACCCCACACACCCCAGAGCTGTGACAACCCACAGTGTCCCCAGACATTGCCAAATATCCAGTCATCAGACACCCACAGTCCTAGGTCAGGTGAGGCAGCTGTAACAGGGATATGGATTAAATAAGAGACAATTCCAATGGTATGAGAACCATCTCTCCAATAGGCAGAGACACATGACATCAGAATGGACTGTTCCCCAGGCTGGTGATGGCCTGCTGTGTTCGTCAGCTGGAGCAGCCATAGCAAAAGGGCACACGGTGGTCTCCCCCGACAACAGAAATTAATCCTTTCCCAGTTCTGAAGGCTGGAAGTTCAAGGTCAATGTGTCAGCAGGTTAGGGTTCTTCCAAGGCCTCTCTCCTTGGCTCACAGATAGCTGCCTACTCTCCTGTCCTCATATGGCCTTTCCTCTGTGTGTACACATCCCTTTATACATCCCAATGTCTTCTTCTTATAAGGATCTATGTCCTAGTGGATTAGAGACGACATTTATGACCTCATCTAAACTTAATCACGTCTTGAAAGGCCCTACCTCCAAACACAGTCACATTGTGAGGCGCTGGCTGGTGAAGATATCAACTTACATTCTGGGGAAGGGGACACCATTTGGGCCATAAGACCTCTCAACAGAGGCAAGCAAAACAGTAGCTTGATCCCCACTGACTGGGAATATTGTAGGGCAGCTACTGCATAGAGTAGAAGACTAGTCCAGAAACCCTCTTATTATGAGATTCTGGGATATCAGGAAGAAGGCAGAATAAATTTCAAGTGGACAAACCGTGAAAGCATTATAGGGTAGCCATACTTTCAACCTGCCCCAAAAGGAAAACAGATTTCAGTGAAGATGGCGGTAAGAGAGATGGGGGAGCAGGGATTCTGGTCTTAGGGGTTGGCATCCCAAGGCAGCACGGGAGTGCGGGGAGTTGAGGAGAGCTCCAGGGTCAGGAATGTACTCCAGCCTTGTTCGGGCAACAGTACTATGTGATAAAATACTTATCTGGGGACTAACTTGAAATCCTTGCACACCTTCAAGTTCTCTGGGCAGAGGAAACCACATTCAGAAGCCAGCCCTCTGCCCATCGTCGGCTTCCGCTGGGCCACGGCTGGCACAGATCTCAAACTCTGCCAGGTCTTGAAAGAGAAAATGCTTCACAGTGCTTTCAAAGAGTCACTTTACCAAATGTTCTAAAATCACCATGGCCACAAGCCACGAGTCTGAAGCATTTTCTTTCCCTTCTTACAGGTGCTGGCTTTCTCAGTGGTCTCGGCCAGAGGTCTGACCACTACATGTGTGTCAGGAAAGGAGGCACCTGTAACTTCTCCCCCTGCCCGCTCTTCACCAGGTCAGAAGGCACCTGTTACGGCGGGAAGGCCAAGTGCTGCATGCGTTGACTCTGAGCTGGGTGCGACGGAGAAAGGATGGGGAAGTCCAACGAAGTATTTGTAACCACTGTTTTAATAAAGGAAGACCTTTTTTTAAGCATACCTCTTTCAGACCAGAATGAATCTTGTCTCCTTTTGGAAGAGGTTGAGAGGGGATGGGGGTCAGGAGCAGAGATGGGCCAGGCCACAGGGCCCACACTGCCCAGGGCTGGGGGTGCTGACCAGAGCTGAGCCGTGTCTGGTCATTGTCAGGCCAAGGTGTGGGCAACGTGGAGGGCGCCCGTGAGACCAAGGACACACGAGGAGAGGATGAGGCAGGCGAAGCCTTCCCTCGTCCACATGGCAGCTTGCCTCACACTCAGCGGTCTGAGCAGCCTGTTCCGTGAAAACAGCCCATCTGCAGGGCCCATGTGCAGGGCCTCTCCCTTCCCCTGAAAGGAAGTGTTCAGTTCTCCCCAGGAGTGTTCTATTTTGAAAAGAAACCTCAGGCATGCTGTCAGCTTCCCTGTTCAAGATATGAGAAGTCCTCCCTGGGAGCATTCCTCTGGATGTTTAATCAAAGACAGGTTCCCAGATAAGCCCTCATACTTCGGACAGCCAAGGTTTGGGTTTCCCAAGATCCAGTTCCTCCGGCAGGGAAAAAAAAAAAAAAAAGCAAAAGCCCACATTCTGTGTTTATCTCACATTCTTTGGTTTCCAAGATTGTGGTGATCTTCCGGGCCCTGCCAGGAGCTCTTTGCTGGACCAAAAGCGACCGCTCATGGATTCCCAGCCACAGAGAGGCCAGGAATGGTCACAGGAAAGGGGGGAGGGGTAGGCCTCCGGCAGCACAGGCGCCAGAAACAGCAGTCCCAGAACCAGAAAGACAAGCATGATCTTTGCAGCCCCTCCACCTCGACATTTGGCCCCGGAGCCCCCAGGCCACGGGGGTGGCACTCTTGACTGCCCCTTTTAAGGGAAAGCAGCTGAGCACATTCTCATCTGCTCTTGCCAACCCCCGCCCCCCCCCACCAGTGTCATGCCTCTGAGTTCCTCTGAGCTTTTCCATCCATTTCCAAACTCCTCTGAACCTTTCCACCCCCCGCCCTGCCTGCGCTTTCGGACCCGCCGGTACCACCCAAACCCCGTCCTCCTGTGATGATGCCCTTGCCGCTGCTCCCTCCTGCACCTGAACAGGACGAGCCAAGCTAGCCCACTTATCCTCCATTTCCCCGGGATGCACATGTGTCACCCTTCTCCCACCATTTCAGCCCCCACTTGGCTCGCATGAGAGTGTGGATGATACTGCCTGAGCCACTGTGGAGGGAAGATGGCCCAAGAGTCAGGCGCGTGCTCGCAGCTGTCTACAATCCACCTGACTTCAGAACAGTTGCGAGGGCCAACATCTGGCTCCTCTGATAGCGTCTGCTTAGCTGAAAAGCAAGTGCTGATTTGAGTGAGCGCCACACACTGTCCCGGGTCCAGCTTAATTGTCGTGGCTGTCCCTAAGGAAGGAGGGAGCTGGTCACCGAGCTGAGTGCCCTGACTGAGGCATGTCCCCTGAAGCAGATCGGTTTTGCACGGTTCCCCTTCTGAGGAGTAGCGCCCGCCTTCTAACTCCTGGTGCCCGTGAGGGTGCTGTGGCTGATGGGGACTGGCCCATCCTCGGTGCGCCTGCCCAGGAGCCTGTTGTGACAATACCGTGGGCGCTGGGCTCTGGCATGACTTGCACGTCAGCAAGAAATAATTGGCGAGGACCTTCACCATCTCTGCAGCGTGTGGGTGAAGCCGGACACCGCAATCCACATCCCCAGGAGAGAGTACCATGTATCACTGCTCAGGCTTGCTGTCAGCCGCCCCGCATGGGAGCTGCCTCATCCACCTGCTGGTGCCTACCCCAGTCACAGACGTACCTCAGAGGAAGGGGGGAGGTCATACACTGCACAAAATACACCCGAGGGGCGCCCAGGTGTCTCCTGATTTCAGCTCAGGTCGTGATCTCAGGGTCCTGGGATCGAGTCCCACATCAGACTCTGCACTCAGCACAGAGTCTGCTTGTCCTTCTTCCTCTGCTCTTCTCCTGCTCTCTTTCCTTCTCTCTCCCTCTCAAATAAATAAATAAGATCTTTAAAAAAAAATACACTCTAGCATTGCTTCAGCTTTTGATAGTAAAATCACACAGCCTCCTTTGGAGACAGTGCGCCGTCCTGACCCTGTGGCTCATGGGCCCCTGGGGCATGTCCCCCAGTCTGGTCGACAGATCTGTAATGGAACGGCAGGGAGCCGAAGAAGCATTCTTGTTCTGATGGGTGCTAAGACGTGGTAGCCATTCATGATTTTGTCACAGGTTTCCCTGACGGGTCCTGTAATACTCTACTCCAGGCTTTCCTCCAAAAAGAAAAAAAAAAAAGAGGAATGAACAGGAGGGAACTGAAGCTCCTCGTGCATGTGGTGGTCTTCAGAGTTAAGGCTTCGGTATCAGTGAGTGGTCTCCCAACAGGATGTGCATGTGTGTACATCAGGCAAGACTTGAGGAATTTGCTCACACAATTATGGAGACTCGGAGGGTCCAAAAGCTAGTGGAGGTGGGCCGACAGGCTGGAGATGGAGGAAAGAGTTGCCGTTCATATCCAGAGGCTGTTTGCTAGGAGAAGTCATTGTTGGAGAGGTGAGTGTGTTCTAAGAAAGCCTTCAACTGGGCACCTGGGTGGCTTAGTGGGTTGGGCCGCTGTCTTCAGCTCGGGTCATGATCTCGGGGTCCTGGGATCGAGTCCCGCGTCAGGCTCTCTGCTCGGTGGGGAGCCTGCTTCCGTCTCTCTCTCTGCCTGCCTCTCTGCCTACTTGTGATCTCTGTTAAATAAATAAATAAAATCTTTAAAATAAAAAAAAAGAAGGTCTTCAACTGATTGGATGAGGCCCACCCACATTATGGAAGGCAATCTGCTATACTCAAAGTCCACTGATTTAAATGTCGTATTGTATATATGTTATTTTCTGCTTATTATGTTTTTATATCTTAAAAAAATGAAAAACAAAACAAGCAAACAAACAGAAAACCTTCCTAGCTGATTCTTAGAGTAAAGCCCTGGGAAGGAGCATGTTTTCCATGTGTAAGGTAACTCATCCAGAGCCACACTCTTCTGTCTCGCCCATGCACCCCAGGAGACCACATTTGTCTGCCTTAGTCATCCCAGGGCAAGGTACCAGCCAACTAGAGGCTACCCATGTAGCCTCAAGCCTTCCAAAATTATTCAAACAAGCCAGTCCAAACTGGGAATCCTGCCCTGCTTTGCCTTTCCTCAGAAACTCCAATAAAAGCAGTGGTCTCCCCACCTTCCTGCAACGTGCCTCCTGGCCACTGTGTTGTCTCCGTGTGCCCCTGCATGGTGTGCTGGGCCTCCTGTCTCGAGGTACATGTACATGGTACATTCTGTTGCCTTGAGCCTCTCCCCCATCTCCAGGTGGCTGCACCTGACTGACCATCTCAGGGAAGAAGACAGAACGCTTGGTGTCAAGAACAGCATGTCTAGTCACAGCCCAGAGGGGACTTAGGAGATGCCCCTCGCTGGCCCGTGGGCTGATTGGCTGTCCCGGTTGGGCTCTGCCTTCTGGGAAGTTTCGGTGGCTGTTGGCGTTCTGTGTGCTCCTTTGCTTTGAGTTGCCTCTTTCGGATGCTGCCAAGGCTTCTGACCAGAAATCGGCGATGTCCTCCTCCTAGAACTCGGGTTCCACTGGCAGCCAGCCCCGGGCTCAGCAGAGCGGGAGAGGCCCTCCAGCCTTCCCCACAGGGCTGGCATCAAAGGCTACCAAGCTCACAGAGCCGCCACTGGATGGAGGGTAGAGATCTGTTCTCCCTGCAGCCAACTCCCCGGGGGTCAGGTGCCCCGCGGGCAGATGAGGGCTGGGTGACTGTGAAAATGCTCAGGAGGATGAGCAGAATGGGGATGCGGGTGTCCTTATCCACGTCCATCTTACTTGGGTTCTCCCAAACCAGCAAGGGGTCCTCCTTCAAGAGAAGCCCACCACGGTGCCCCAGAAAGGTTGATGCCGCGGGCAACCCCTTCTCTTCTCCATGGCTCCTTGCTGTTGCTCTCAGTTCCTTAACCCCACAGGGTGTCATGGGTCCCTGGAGACTGTGGCTCAGCATTTAACAAAAAAGGGACAGGGGGAGGAATGATTCATTCTGTGCCCCCAAAAATACCTGAGGAGTTTTCCTAGCTGAATAAATGTACCCCCAGGGTTGACAGGAGCATTTGGGGAGATGACTTAAGTCTCGTGCTGACTCAGCGGCCGTCCACCACTTCGTCTGCCTGGCTCACTATCAAGCTGGTTTTTCTGCCTCTGTGGGTTGAAGACTCCATCCATGACAGGCAGGGTCTGACTCAGCGCTGAATCAGAATATGTGTGCAGGAAAGAGATGTCACCTGTCGTCGGAGGCTCAGAAGGTCACAGAGCTAGAACCATCACAGCTGAACGTGAGCAAGACCTCGCAAGCCGTTTGTGGTGGGGAATAGAAGGAGAGCCGGTCTCAGCCCCTCTCCACCACCTCCTGGACCCTGATTTTCCTCCCTTAAAATCATGCCAAGGATGCTAAGTAAGCCGTGAAATATCACTGGTTTGAATCGACTCATCAGGTCACAAACCAAAACCACTAATGGTGCCTTGGTCCAACCTCGTAACTTTTTGGAAACTTTGGGTTGTTGAAGAATCTCCTTTGGTTATGAAGATGTAGTTTGTCTTCTCTTAAACTTCAGTCTCACATCCTATGGGACATTCCTGTCCCCGTGCATAGGCTGCCCTGAGCTGGGGGGTGTGTGAGGGCTGGGAAGGGGATCCCACCGCAGCCTTTCTTCCTCTTACTCAGTCGTTTGGATGGGGGGGTGCACAATGTTCTCTCTCTTCCAGAAGAACACACTTTGCTAGATTAGCAAGATTTCTGCTCCATTGGGCTGCTGATCGATGCTTCCCTAACCATCTCGTGGGCTGCGTTTGCTGGTTCTCCGGAGGGCCCTGTGGAGATTTCCTCCTCCACCCCCGGCCTGGGACATTGGGTTCAGGCTCAGACTCTCCCCACCAGCCCCCACTGGAGGCAACAGCCCTCAGGCCCTATCTTTTGATATCTTATCACCTAGTAGGTGGCCAGTGGCGACAGATAATGAGGTGACCTAAGTTCAGCCATTCCCAGGGTCCCTGCCGGAACCATCCAGATCCTTGAATGCAAACAGTAGGTATCTGGAGTACCCAGCCAGCACAGCCCCAAGCTCTCCTGTTTTTCCCCTGTGCCTGCTCTGTGCCCCAGGGGAATGTGTGCCCTCTTTAGTCACAACTCCATGATGGTCGAGCCTGGAAAGGTCACCCGCTGCCACAGAAGCGGGGAGCAGGATATCCGGGAAGGGTGCGCTCCCCACCAGGAGAGGAGAGGGTGACATAGTGCAGCTCTGCAGAGGGCTGACTCCCTGGGGACGCCACGAAGATAGCAAGATGCCGAATTTCCCAAAAACACAGTAGTCAGTGGCGACAAGGGAAAAGGAGAATCTGAAGGGAAAGAGTGATTGTGTATGAAACAGTGTGGACTGACAAGATATTAAAACCTAGATGTGCTTCATGAAGGTGTTGTAACACAAGGGCTGTGTCCGTAGTTTGGCTGTTGTAGATAAAGCTGCTATAAACATTGGGGTGCATGTATTCCTTTGAGTTAGTGTTTTCGTGTTCTTTGGGTAAATGCCCACTAGTGCAATTGCTAGATCGTGGAGTAGGTCTATTCTTAGTTTTTTACGGGACCTCCATACCTTTTTCCAAAGGGGATGCCCCAGTTTGCATTCCCACCAATCGTGCACAAGGGCTCCCCTTTCTCCACATCCCCGCCAACACCTGTTGTTTCTTATTTGTTGATTTTAGCTGTTCTGACAGGTGTGAGGTGATAGCTCATTCCAGTTTTATGATTTGCATTTTCCTGATGGTAAGTGATGTTGAGCATCTTTTCATGTATCTGTTGGTACCCTGGATGACTTCTTTGGAGCAAAGGCTGTTCCTGTCTGCTGCCCATTTTTTACATGGACTCTTCACCTTTTTGACTGATGAATGGAAAAAGAAGATGTGGTATATACATACACAATGGAATATTATTCAGACATTAAAAAGGATGAAACTTTGCCATTTCTGATAACATGGATGGAGCTGGAGATTATAATACTAAGCAAAATAAGTCTGCCAGAGAAAGACAAATACCATATGATCTCACGCAGATGGGGAATTTAGGAAACAAAACAAATGAGCAAAGGAGAAAAAAAGAGAGAGAAACACAAATCGAGAAACAGACCCTTAACGACAGAGAACAAACTGATGGTCCCCAGAGGGGAGGTGGGTGGGGAGCTGGGGGACACAGGTGATGGGGATGACGGCGTGCACCTGTGATGAGCACTGGGCGATGTATGGAAGTGTTGAATCACTACATTATACACCTGACACTAATATTACACTGTATGTTAACTAACTGGAATTTAAATGAAAACTTATTAAAGAAGAAAAAATGTTGTAACACATGAGGAAAAGATAATCAAGTCATTTTGAGGGAAAAAAAGAAAAAACAAAAGGACAGAGGAAGAAAGAAAGGACAGACATGAATTTTAGACCAAAATCTTATCATTTCCACAATGATTATTCTTTTTTTTTTTTTTTTTAATAAACAACATCACTGGGCATTTGCCACAACAAAGAAAACAATCAAGAGGACCTTAAAGTCCCTTAATCTACAGGGTCATAAACATCCTTAAAATCCTGACACAGCTTTGAGCCATGAATCCTTCCAGAGCTCCAGAGGGCCCAGGCTTTGCCTCCAGGTCTGGGAGGGGTCACAGCTCATGCGAGCAGGAAGGCCATGTCTACCCCCAGCAGTATTAACTTTTTCTGCTTTCATTCCACATGACAACTTGTAAAGTAAAAATACCCTAATTCAAACCTATTGCACAAATTTTTCCTGTGTTGCTTCGATATGAATCTCTTAAAATCTTTTCCTTTTCTACTTGCCAACGAATAGCCCTCCTGCCAGCTGAGCGGGGGGGAGAAGCAGCAGAAGCTGGGGGGGTGGCTGGCCCCACAGCGGCCCCTGCGCTACCTCCGCGGCCCCCAGTCTTTGGTAGCTCCCCCACCGCACCCCCATCAGGACCTTCCCGTGTGACTCTCCATAGTAAACTGCATTTACAATTCGTTTTTACATCTCGTTTTGAAAGGAGGAAGCCCTAGGTCTTAAAAACTCCGCGTATTAACTCATTGTGCAATTCTGAGCCAGCACCTGCACCTCCCTCGTTAACCCATAAAAGAGCAGGTTCAGGTCCTTCTACCCAGGATCCGAGAGCCGGAATGAGAACCTTACCCTCTTGGGCACCATCTAGTGGCAAACAAGGGTAACACGGGCTCCCCCGGCCAACAGCATGGTCCTGGCGGGTGGATTTTCTCAGGACCTCATAGCCAAAGTTCTGAATAACCACTTCGCCATTATTTACTTTTCCAAAACCAATTGGCTGAACAAACTTTTCTTAATTAGGTGCTGTTGCACGGCTCTAAATTGTCTCAAACAATTCAACGGAGCCCTTTCTCCAGGAGATGTCAAAGAGAGCAAGAGTGGGACTAGGGGGATGGGGTGAGAGGTCAGGCACTAGGATGGGGGTGGGGTGACAGATCAGGCACCAGGGTGGGGGATGGGGTGACAGGTCAGGCACTAGGATGGGGGATGGGGTGAAAGGTCAGGCGCTAGGATGGGGGATGGGGTGAAAGGTCAGGCACCAGGACTGGGGGACGGGGTATGAGGACAGACACTAGTGCAAGAACAGAAGCGGGAGCAGGTGCAGAGCTGACGCAGGCATGACCTGCAACACCAGAAGGCAGGACCTTCCGTAAGGGCAACATCACATGCTGACATGTGACCCGGGGCAGGTGAGGGCACCTGAATGAGAGATGAAGCAGAGACGGGGGGGAAACTGTAGTAAAACACTAATATGGTGAAGCCGAGTTACAACTAAAAGTTTCACAGGTGAAACAGTAACTGGGAAAAGCCCGGTTCAGGGTGACAGAGAAAGAGGAACCCAGGCAGGATGTCTCCGGAAGAGATGGGACATCCTGAGGGATGGGGACCGGTCAGCTCTCGGAGATTCCTGGCCGCCCACAAGGCCGAGTGTCTGTACTGACCACCGTTTGCTGCTACAACCTCTCCAAACATGGGTTTCTCCCCCAGAGCCCTGTGTGCGGCTGGCCGCGGGGTGGTCCCACGCGGGCTGGACCCACGCGCCGCTCCTCTGGGATGCATGGGGCCCGGGCCGTGGCCGCTCCGGGGGCCGAGTGCTATGGGGCTGAGCTGGGACTGGATGCAGCCATGTCCTCCCTGTCGGCGCTCTGGCGACCGGTCGGGCCCTCAGGTCAGCAGGCGGGGGATTAAGCTTCATCCCTTGAGAGGCACCAAGAAGCATGGCTGAGAGAAGGCGCCCCAGAGCAGCGTGCTGGCCACAATTTTCACCTTCCATTTTCACCTCCCATCTTCGGAGGCTTCGATGCTGGGGCCTCGCTCACCCTGGAGGGACTCCCCTCCAGGGCTGGTCAGCTCCTAGGCACAGCAAACAGTGGCCCTGAGCCTTTTACATGCAAACCAACCAGTCCAGAGCGCACGGCCCCCCACCTCCTCTGTGGGGCTCTCCCACTCCAGCCACTCTTCCCCTGCCCGGAGTCCCCGGAGTCCCCCAGGGCAGGTCCCAGGCAACTGCTGATGTCACTCTGACCAGCTAATCCTAAACCCATTCCCCTGCTTCCCCGACTCCTTGCCATGGAAACCACAGCGAAGGCCCTTGCCCACAGTCTCCCTCTCCCTCCGCCTCCTGACTGGCCCGGGCTGCCCCCCAGAGGGCCCCTCCTCTTGGGATCGGTGAGAAACAAACTGTCTTTTCAGTGGCAGTTGGTTCCTGGTCTGTTGGTTTTATTGCATCTCTAATGTTCTACCAAGTCTCTGTATTTGGGAGCAAGCAGTGACCTACCTCACCACCGTGTCCTTTGAATCAGGGTGACCTCCGGGCCCAGGCTGTGGGTGCAGACAGCGTTCAATGCCCCTGGGTGACACAAGGGGAAGCATGCGCCTCCAAAAGGGATTTTTGGCAAACACCAGGCCTGGAGAAGCCAAGCAAAACCCTGGCTCTTTTTCCCCTGTTCCTAACACGTCCAACAGAAACTGCGGCGACGAACCCCACCAGCTTCTTTATGAGCTCGTACGAAGTAGGAGACAGCACTGACTCGTTCAGGCCCCTGAAACAGAAACCAGTACGGAACTGCCCATTTAGGGACTCTTTGAGGGCAGGGAGTGAGCTCTGCACACTTCCCTCCCTGCTCCCAAGGTCCTGTAAAGCTTGCTACATTGTGTCGAAGAATATACCTGCTTCCCCCGGTGACTGCAGCCCGGGCCATGAGGAGGGAGGGTGGGGGACGGCCGTGGCCTCCAACATACCCTTGGCCGGGCAGCTCCATGAGGTGGGTGTTTCCAAATTCATCCGCAGCAAAGTGCGCCTGTGAGTTTGGGCCTGGCCTCCCTGACCTCTTGCTCCTCTGTGGCAGATAATATGCTCCTTTGGCAACACACGCCCTTCATGTTGGCAGCGCCTCCCCCTCCCCGCTATGATCTCCTGCTCCAGCTAACTTCAGATGAGGGTCAGTAGAAAGGGATGGGCCGTCTGAGCAAGTCTTTAAAAGGGAGACACACAGCTGGAGAGCACCAAGGTCTAAAATCAGGGCACAGGGCACAATCGCCCCGGGCTGCAATTCCCCTTCCTTTTCTTTGAACGGATGCCCCCCGTGGCAACCAGGATGACAGGTGCACCAAGATCCATCCGAGTCATTCTTCTCTGCTCCTAGTGGCATCTGAGGTCACAAATTGCCCCAAATATGAGAAGATAGGATCGCAGAAGAGAAAGCCCATCCCCAGCCCGCCTCCTCCTTCCTTTAGGACAAAGGTGGCTTTCTTCCAGGCTCACCTCGGTCCACCCATCACATGCAGCCCTCTTATGGGATGCGGGTTGTTCTAGGCGCAGGAGAAGAGACCGTAGGCAGAACGGGGTGATGTGGAGAAAGACGTAAACTATGCAAATTTCTCAGGATTTACTCCCTCCCTTAGGTCTGAGGTGTTTCATGGTCTCTCCCAGTATGATCATACAATCAGAGTTTCTAAGAATCTGCAGTCCAGACTCTCCTGTCCCTGCATCCTAGGAAGAGATCTCTTAGGAGCAAGGGAGACAGGATTACTTTCCTGTAAGTATTTATTAAGTTCAGTGCCACATCCAACCTAGGAGCAGTCTTGGTGCCCCTCCAGTTTGACCACAGAGTCTCTAGAATCCACACAAGTATCTTGACAAAGAGAATTTAATGCGGGGAACTGGTTAAATGAGGTGGGAGAAACGTCAAAGCAAAAAAGGGACAGCAGCTCCCACCCAACGCCTGGGAGAACAGAACGAGGACTCTGGGCTTCTCAGAGCCTACGGGGACCCTCCCCAGCTGAGACTGCCTGCTCTGGGGGCTCCTCTGGTGCCATGTGCTGATTCCGGAGGGGCGGGAGGCTGCAGGTGGGGACCGTCCAGCTCCTGGGTGGAGCAGGAGTGGGCGGCAAGTAGAACAGTGGCTCTTTCCTTCTTGCCCAAGGTCTTTCCATGGGTCTTGCCAGCAGAAGCTAAGGAAGGTGACTGACTGGCAAGGAGAAGCACGCTTTGCAGAGTCTCAATCCTGGCCTCCAACTCGGGTTTGGAAGAATCTGGAGCTCAGAGACAAGAGCTCTTTTTCCCAGTGGTTTTGTCAATGGAGTCAAGGCGAGCCCGCATCCAGGCAGCCCCATCACGCCCCAGCAGAAGTGTGTCTGTATCCACGGCCACACCACCCACCACGCCAGCGGTGGCTCCCAGCAACGATTTTATTCGCTCCTCGTTCTGTGGCCCTGAGGTTTGGGTTGAGCTCTCCTGGGACAGGCCATACCCCTCGGATGGCCCTGGGTCTGCACTGTGCAGTGTCAGATGGCCTTGCTCATGTCTGGGGAGTGGGCTTGTTCTCCAAGAGATCTCCGAAGTTAAGCTCCTGCTCTCCCACAGAGACAGGGACATGGGGATGTTATCTCCCTCAATGGTTATCCTTGGGAAAGTCCTGGATTGTAAAACTGGCAAAGCCTTTTATTTTTAAGATTTTATTTATTTGAGAGAGACAGCGGGCGCTAATACAAGCAAAGGGAGCAGCAGGCAGAGGGAGACGCAGGTTCCGCTGAGCGGGGAGTCTGATGTGGAACTCGATCCCAGGACCCTGAGATCATGACCTGAGCTGAAGGCAGACACTTAGCCGACTAAGCCACCGAGGCGCCCCAAAACTAGCAAGGGCTTTTTAAGAAAGATTTACATACACCTGGGGCAGCCAGATGGCTCAGTCAGTTAAGTGTCAGACTCGGTTTCAGCTCAGGTCACTATCTCTAGATCCTGGGATGGAGCACTGTTGGGGGAGGAACCCCCGCTCAGCGGAGAGTCTTCTTGTCTCCCCCCTCTCTGTCCCTCCCACACTTGTGCTCTCTCTCTCTCTCCAAGATAAATAAATCTTTTTAAAAAAAATATGTTTATACGCAGACCTGTACCCCTGGGGATAAAAATACATTATATGTTTATAAAAAAATAAAAAATAAAATTTCAAAAAAAAATGTTTATATACATCTCAAAGAGACAGAGAAAAAAAATTACAGTGACAAAGGTTCTCGAGGAATAGAGGGCAAGTCTGTCTTGGTCACAGACTGGCCCAGGCTTCCTCACAGGACGGGCTCAGGGTGACAGAGACAGAATAAGACAGAGACACAGACACAGGGACAGACAAAGAGAAAAGGAGCTTCAGAACCTCTGGGGCCTACACTTGGAACTCCTACAACCTAACCTCTCCCACATTCTTCTGGTCAAAGCAAATCACAGGCCAGCCAGAGGAGGTGACCCGTCCACCTGCCTGCACGCCACCACGCATTATTTCTCCGGGCCCCTTGTGAGGTTGGGGAACAGCGGAGGAAACTTCTGCCCACATCAAGAGGCCTGATCTGATTTGTACTTGCTCACCTAGGGATTAGAAGACTCAGGGCTACCCTGCCTCCGTGCTGGCTAGTCCCGTGGGGTAAACCAGCAGGGGACTCCGCGCCCCCACTGCTCCTGAAGTGGGTTCCGGAGCGGCAGCCTCCGCAGCACCCAGCGGCAGGCAGGGGAAGGGGTGGTGCGGCCGACACACGCGGGAGGTGGAGCAGAGCGCGCATGAGTGCTCCGCAGCCCCAGGCTGAGCGTCAGCTCAGCTCACCCCTCCGCCCCCCAACCCATCGCCCTGGCCACTCCTGCCAAGGCGGGCCACCTGCCCCAGCCTGCGCTCAGCTCTGCGCACCAGTGCGCACACCGTGGCATCCGGCCTGCCCCGCCGTGCCTGGGCCAGCACCCAGACAAGCAGGCCTCAGCACAGGACCCCGTGTCAGTGCTCCCAGGTGCTCCGGGAAACGTTGTCCCCACTTTCCCTCTCACCAGGGAACCAACTCGGGCCCGGGCATTGCTCGGATTCCTCCAAAGACTTTTTGTCTGGAACCCTGGTTTAGCTTGGCCGGTGGAAGCAGGGGGAGCAGGAAGCCCGGGGTGGTTAGAACTCCGAACAGAGCCGGCCATTCCCTGGTCCCTTGATCCAGACCTGCAGGGTTCCTATGTGGGCCCCGGGCAATGCTGTATTCCCACTACAACTGGCAGCTTTATGTGCCCATAAATCCATTTTAAACTTTAATAGTGGGAAACCCAAGCAATGATCCTATAAAACGATTCCAGCACCTACCTGTGTTGGATGGACGCCAGCACCCCCCCATGGCCACTGATTGCCAGGGCAGATCCTCACAGAGATTTGTCTCTTTCCTCTGTGTTACTCTACCCTAGCATCTGCAAAAATTAAGAAATAAATCCCAAGAGAGGATTAGCTCTGTTTCAATGCACATACCAGTGCCAGGTATTTTTCACACGTGCTGTTCTATGCAATCCAACAGCCCCTCTCTGTGACCACAGTGTCTGATGTCTGGGGTCCCCAGAAAGCCCTGGCACCTTCATCCCTCCGCAGGCCTGTCTAGAATGCCAGCTGGCTATGCCTGTGTCTGGGCTGGGTCCAACAGGGAGCCTGCCTGTGCTGGGGATGCGCTGTTGGCAGGTCACTAACTCTCCCCTTCCGCCCTCCATGCACCTGCTTGTCTGTCCTCTCTCATCCTGCAGGCCTCGGCTCCTCGGTGTACTGCTTCACCAGAGGACAGAGCCTCTGGGGGTGGCTGGCCCTTTCTGTGCTCCTGCCTAGCTTCCTGGTCCAGGGCCTGAGCTATCTGTGGTTCCAGGCAGACAGGCACCAAGGTCATTGCTTGTTGCTCATGCTACACCCACCCCTCCAGCTGGGCGTGTGGAACAAGCAGCCTCATTTCACCTCTGGAGGGTGATTTCATCTATGTAGTAGGAGCCCATGTATTCTGCTCTTGGGACATAAAAGTTCAAGGTTGGAAAAAAGCTCACAGCCACCACTTTGAACCCCTGCTCTGACAGGCATCCCCTTTTCCAGCCTATACTTCCCTGAGCACGTCAGGAAGCTTCTTCCAGAGGCAGCTGTGACCCTTCCAAAGCTTTCGTTTTGTTTTGTTTTTATCTTTGGCCGAATTCTGTCTTGTTCTTGTTTTAATTTGTTAGTCATGGCTTTGGAGCCATAGAAAGTGCCTCACTGAAGACAGTTGCATTTAAACCCCTACGACCTTAGTGGCAGAAGGTGATGTAGATTTAACCACAGATGAGGCCATGGAGCTGGCCTGGTGACATTTGCATCAAGGCTTTATTTCAGGGCGAAGCTATCTGAGAGCCAAGCCCAGTTTCTTTCCATAAACAAAGCAGCCTGGGCGGGCCTAGTGCCCAGAAGACTTACCTAGGGTTCACCTCTGCAGGTATCCCTGGGAGCAGCTGGAAGCAGGGAGAGTCAGGAGAGACCTATCCATGAGTTTATGTAAGTGGCCAAGTTCAGCTCTTAGCCACCTCATCATCCCATAGTTGCCAGGAATTTAAAAAAAGGGGTGGTGGGTTTGGGAAGTTTGGGAATCATATCAGCGAACCCTGCAGCTAAGGTGTTTGCTAAGCCCTAGATGCGAGGACCGAAAGGGTGTTCAGAAGGTGCGAGTTTGAGATCTCGGGCGTGCTGCCGGCTGTGCTTGGTCAAGGTTTATGCCTTCAGCCTGTCCCCAAGGCCTTGTCTGGAGCAGCTGACGTAAGTTTTCTGGTTTCTTAGCTGAATCTGAAGAAGGAATGATTCCTCATGCAGAATCAGCTTCAGAAAGGAAGGAGTCCTTTCCACCCAGTGCAGAACTCAAACAGGAGGTAGGGTGTTTCTAATAAAGAAATCAAGTAACCTCCCCCAAATTCACGGGGCCCCACAGAACTGGAGCCCCCTCCATCTCTGAAGTCACCCAGAGCACATTTGCAACCGCAACAACTTTGCTTAAAGCTGGGCCTTTGTGTTCAGGAAGTGTGGTTCCTCTGAGAAGATGGAACTTGTACTTGTGGGAAGAGAGCAAAGATGGTTTTTTGCTCAGACTCACCAAGGATTTATGGCCTTCCTGGGCACCATCTACTATCGTAGGGATCAGCCCCTTCCCTCAGCCCAACCCAGTAGGACACTTATTAAGGGCTGGGAGGCCCTGTATATGACCTTGAGGACCGCTAGCCAAACATCTGGTAACCCAAAAGGTGAGTTCAGTGAATGTCAGTCACTTGAGAGAAGCTTCCGGAATAACTGCCTGATAAGTCTGCCTTCTGGGGTTGTGTGCAGGGATGGAGCTGTGTCAGGCCCATGTCATGTCTGTATTCATACTGCTGGTGTCCGCCTATGACTCCATGTTCTCTGCTTCTCCGTGCTCCCTCAAAGTTTCATAAATGGAGCTCTGAGTTTCTGGTATGTATCAACCCTGAGATGGATGAGGGAAGAGAGTCATGAAAACTAGGTCTCAGGAAGAACAACTCGTCAGCTGTATCTCTTTTTATTTTAAAAGTAAGGGGAATTTATGAAAAACACGTAATTTAAAAGGAAAAAAGATACGAGAAAGGTCAGGAAGAGGAACGATAGGTCAGAAAATAGGATAAAGTGAAAACGTACAGTTGTTCACTGGGAGCCACAAATTTGGCTCTAAGGGTTTTTTAAAATTCAATTAATTCTCATATAGTGTATTATTAGGTTCAGAGGTAGAATTAGTGATTCGTCAGTTGTATTTAACACCCAGTGGCTCATCCCATCATGTGCCCTCCTAATGCCCATCACCCAGTTACCCCACCCCCAAAGCACAGCAGAAGAAACAGTTAACAACACCAAAAGACAACATACAGAATGGGAGATGTTTGCAAATGTCTAATCAGATAAAGGACCAGTATCCAAGATCTATAAAGAACTCCTCCAACTCAACAACCAAAGAACAAATAATACAGTCAAAAAATGGGCAGAAGGGGCACCTGGGTGGCTCAGTGGGTTAAAGCCTCTGCCTTCGGCTCGGGTCATGATCCCAGGGTCCTGGGATGGAGCCCCACATCGGGTTCTCTGCTCAGCAGGGGGTCTGCTTCTTCCTCTCTCTCTGCCTGCCTCTCTGCCTACTTGTGATCTCTGTCAAATAAATAAATAAATAAAATCTTAAAAAAAAATGGGCAGAAGACATGAACAGACATTTCTCCAAAGATGACATCCAAATGGCCAACAGACACATGAAAAAATGCTCCACATCACTCATCAACAGGAAAATACATATCAAAACCACAATGAGAAATGACCTCACACCAGTCAGAATGGCTAAAATCAACAACACGAGAAACAACAGATGTTGGTGAGGATGCGGAGAAAGGGGAACCCTCCTGCGCTGTTGGTGGGAATGCAAGCTGGTGCAGCCACTCTGGAAAACAGCATGGAGGATCCTCCAAAAGTTGAAAATAGAGCTACTTTACGATCCAGCAATCGCACTACTGGATATTTACCCCAAAGATACAAACGTAGGGATCCGAAGGGGCACGTGTACCCGAATGTTTATAGCAGCAATGTATACAATAGCCAAACTATGGAAAGAGCGCAGATGTCGATCAACAGATGAATGGATAAAGAAGATGTGGTATATACATGCAATAGAACACTATGCAGCCATCAAAAGAAATGAAATCCTGCCATTTGCAACGATGTGGATGGAACTAGACGTGGATAGAACTATTATGCTGAGCGAAATAAGTCAGTCAGAGAAAGACAATTATCATATGACCTCTCTGATGTGAGGAATTTGAGAAACAAGGCAGAGGATCATAGGGCAAGGGAGGGAAAAATAAAATATGGCTCTGAGTTTTATAAACAGCCCAGCAGGCATAAGAAACTAGGTGGTTTGCAGTGTTTCTGAAATTTTTGAAGTAAAGCAAACACACAAACAGAAATCCACTTCCTTAGAAGAAAGCCTTGAAAGTTGAAATAGAAAGCAGCCGATCTGATCCTCCGCCCACAATGGGCCAGTAGGGTTCCCACAAAGAAAACTGGGTGATGAGCTGCCCTTACGCCAATCCACCCCGAACGCTGCAAGACTGTCTCTCATGGGGTCTGCAAAGCAGTTTCAGAGAAGCGCAGTTTTGCGAAAGCACCTGTAGGAGGAGCCAAAACAATTGCATTTTGCACAGTCCTGCCTAATGCTTAGGAACGGAGCGTTTTAAGTGACTTTGGAACCCAATGCAGAAGCATCTGCTAATAACAGAGAAACTGACAATACATGAGCCTCTTGAGGCAAAGCAGCTTACGAGAATACAAGCACTTATAACATAAATGTATGTTTTATTCCAAATGCCTCTAGTTGTTGATGTGAAGTCTGAATCTATGCGGGTAACCCTGACATAGTGATCACTTGTTTAAACACAGTCAGCCACTTTTCTCCATTCAGTTGTTGTATTTCCACGATAATGCTACATGTTGCCCATATCCTTTTTTAAAAAATGTCGCAGCCCCTAAATTCATTCGGAGCCTCAGCATGGAGTGTTGGAGATATGGCTGCCTCATCCCAACCTTAGGACCTGTCCGGGTTTAGAAATTTTTTCTTTGGTGGAAACTTAAAGTTCTTAAAAAGAAAGTCAAGGTGAACTTTAAGGCTATGTAAGGAAGGCAGGCTCCGCATAGACGAGTAAAAATTTAATATTTCAAAGTATGTAAAACACTTTTGCCATGCTCAACGTCACTCAGCATCAAGGAAATGCAAATCAAAACCACAGTGAGGTACCACCTTGCACCTGTCAGAAGGGCTAAAATCAACAACACAAGAAACGACAGGTGCTGGTGAGGATGTGGAGAAAGGGGAGCCCTTCTGCTCTGTTGATGGAAATGCAAGCTGGGGCAGCCACTCTGGAAACAGCATGGAGGTTCCTCCAACACTTAGAATTACCACGTGATCCAGCAATTTTCCCGTCTGCGTATGTACCTGAGGAATCCAGAGCAAGGTCCGGAAAAGACATTTGTACCCCGGTGCCCACGGCGGCTGCATGTGCAGCAAAGCAAATGAACAGGTGATGAACGGATGAACTGTGGTCTCTACCCACAATGGGATATTATTTAGTCTTTAAGGAGAAGGAAATTCTACAGCACGGGTGAATCTTGAGGACTTGAGGCTAAGTAAAATCAGCCAGTCCCACAAGGGGGGATAATTCACTTACACCGGGTTCTTAGAGCAGTCAGCCTCCCAGAGACAGAAAGTGGAACCATGATGGGGAGCGGGGGAGGGGAGGGGGAAGCTAATGTTTAATGGGAGCAGAGTGTCAGTTTTACAATATAAGAAGAGTTCTGGAGCTGGATGGTGGGGTCGAGGCACACTGTTGTGAATTACTACAAATTATTAATAATCTATTGAATTGTAGTGTTAGTTTAAATTATGTTCATTGAATAAATCATCAAAACCACTGAACTGTACACTTAAAATGGTTAAGATGGCCAGTTTTAGGTTATCTGTATTTTACTGCAAAAAAAAAAAAGATTAAAAAAAGGAACAGCCGGGGCGCCTGGGTGGCTCAGTGGGTTAAGCCGCTGCCTTCGGCTCAGGTCATGATCTCAGGGTCCTGGGATCGAGTCCCACATCGGGTTCTCTGCTCGGCAGGGATCCTGCTTCCCTCTCTCTCTCTCTGCCTGCCTCTCCATCTACTTGTGATCTCTCTCTGTCAAATAAATAAATAAAATCTAAAAAAAAAAAAAAAAGGAACAGCCATAGCCAAAACCTTGAGCTAGTCACAATCTCAGGTTCAACATCGCCAAAAAGCATGAAGATGGAGGGCGGCCGGCGGCGTCTTCAAGCTGCAGGCCCGTGATGGCTGTCCTCGATGAAGCGGGTACGTACGGCTTTTTACTCAAGCTGTTAGTGGGGACAGATCAGAGCTGGCCGGGAAACTTCATTCCAAAGTTAGGTTAATGACTGTGTTTCCAAGGCTCCGCTCAGAGCGTTTGTTCCTGAACCAACTAGAAAGCTTACACCTGCGTCCGCGCAGTGGGATATGCTGGGTGTGCATTTGCTCACGCGTGCAGATGCGTGTGGCAGGAAGGCCTGGACACACGTGATGGAGATGTGGGCTCTGGGGCCTGACCAGGGGCACAGCCACAAGCAGGCGGCTCAGAAGAACAGAGAGAAGGTGTCGGCCGCGCTGGGGGACAGCCTGGGCGCTCGGGGACCAGCCACCGATCATCACCCCCGGGAACTTCTTAAAAATGCAAGACCTCGAGATGCACCCGGACCCACGTGGCATCACAGCAGCCTTCCCATGATTCTCCAAATGCATCTATTTAACCAGAAATTCTGGGCCTAGAGCCCAGCAAGTGTACTTAAACAGACGTCCAGGACGTGAGTTCCAAAGCTCACGTTTGGGAACGCTGGCACTGGCGCGGGAGCCCTAGGGCCCAGGCTGGGGAGGCGGCAGGCCCAACCCGGCAGGGCAGGGGCACCCGGCAAATAGCCGCTCCCCTGCAGAGGCAGAAGGCCCCACGGTGTTCTGCTCAGTGAGCGGTGCGCTCAGGCCGAGAATTTTCTAGATGGGAGCAGTGCGGCCAGAGACAGATGAGGCTGGGTGACCCAGGGACTTGTGTGCAACAGGCGGAGGAGTTTGGCTTTTACCCTCCTTTTACCTTTTACTGAGTGGGAAGGTTTCTTTGTTTGGTTTTGTTTTATGTTCAGTTAGCCACCAACATATAGTACATTGTTAGTTTTTGATGTCGTGTTCAGTGATTCATTAGCTGCATATAATACCACGTGCCCTCCTGAAAACCTGTCACCCGGCTACCCCATCGGCCCACCCCCTCCCTCTGAAACCTTCAGTTTGTTTCCTGGAGGCCAGAGTCTCTCATGGTTTGTCTCGCTCTCTGACTCCCCCTTTGAGTTCCCCCTCCCTTCCCCTGTGGTCTTCCGTGCTATTTCTGACAAGGATTAAGCAAAGAAATACACAGTCAAATGAGGCCCTTAGGGAGATGGCGGTGAGGACAGTAGAGGCGATGGGACACAGCGGGGAGAGACGGGGGGGGACCAGGCAAGCAGCCAGAAATCCAGGTGGGAGCCACTGGGGACCCAGGATGAGGCATTAACCCCCAGGACAGAATCTGACAGGAGTTCCTGACCAGTCTTCTCCCGCCTGCGTCTTGCCTCAGCTGTGACCCTGGTGCCCCCAACAGTTTCCAGTGATGTCATTGGCTGAGTTCCTCCCTCTGGCATGAGACCCAGACACCCCGTTCACAAAACCAGGTAGATTGCTTTCCCCCTGGCTCTTTATTTCTTAGAAATGAGACCCAAGGCCCCAGCTAGACCAGAAGAGGCTCAGCTCTCCAACCCCTACTTCACTGTCCCCAGCATGGACCCACCATTTCCGTGGCCTCTTCCTGCCCCGCTGCCCTACACGTGCTCCCTTTGGCCTTGCTCCCATCTGCCCGTCCAAGGCGCCGGTGCCCCTTCTTGCTGGGAGCCCTCCCTGACCACACTGTCATCAGGTCCCAGACTCCTTCCACCACGACCCACAGCTCAATTTGACACAATTTTCTTTCTGCTTCAACTTTTCATGGGCATATGGTTTCTCTCCCCAGCTGAGCCTGGGCTTCTGGAGAACATCTTTCCTTTCCTTCTTGCCTTCTGTCTCCAGCAGGTGGTAAAAATCCAGTGAAATTGCTCATTGGACTAATGAAGGCTTCAGGGAGGGTAGGAAGAGGGATCTTCATGTCAGGAGAACAGACGATTTGGGACTGAGAGAAAAGCTACACCCCCTGCTGTTCACAGTCCTGACCTTCTCTGTTGTTGTTGTCGGGTTTTTTCTCAACATTATCTTTGTGTCAGAGATCACAGCTTCAAAGACTCAGTAAGAAATCGGTTCACGCCAGGATTCCAAGTCATGAAAAAGGAACACGTTTCCTTCAGCATCTTTCCTGGGCCCCTGGGAACCATGAATAAACCCGTTTCAGAGAGGACCCCTCCTGCTCTGGCCATAGACCTGCTGGCCACAGATCAGAGCCAGGCGTGCCATCAGCGTCGGCACAGGCATAGCCAGAGTCCTGGGGAGGCCCCGAGGGAGGGAGGTTTTCGGGTGACTTTAAAGGTACATCTTGCTCTGAATCAGGAGCTGATAAATTAAGGTGAACCCCCTCTTTTTCTTAACTTGGACAAGACAGACGTTCACAGTACCAGATAGCCTTGGTGGGCACAGCTGTCCCTGCTGCGAGCTGGTGTAGTAATCACCCTTGTTCCTGCTCGTGAGGATGCCCAGGGGGGACCTGGGTGCACAAGAACCCGTGGGTGAAACCCAAAGTCCGTGGTGCCTGAGGGTGTGTGCCTGGAGAGTGGCTTCATTTTCCCGTTTGCTACACAACTCTTCAGGTGATAAAGGGTCACCTTCCAGAAAGCTTTCTAGGCCAGGAGCATGGGCAGAGGTTTCTAGGGTGGGTTTATGGGAAACACAGTGACATGGGAACATGTCTGAATTCCTTTTCTCTCGTGCTGATTCCTTTTCCTCGACCTTAGGAAGGTCGCCCAGCCTGGAGGAGCTAGTGTGTCCCCAGGGCCCATGACCGCCAGCCGCGTCCTGCTGCCCTCCATGCTGGCCTACCTCCTGCGACAAGGCCGGGGGTTTTGGCCCCAAACCCACAGACTCCTATCAGCTGTGCATGCATCCCTCCGATTTGGGGCCTGACGGGGCCCACCAAGCTCACCTCCTCGCTTCTGCATCTCAGTGCCTCGGCAATAGCCTGGGCCTCTCTCTGCCCTGTCCATGTGCTCACATGCCCGGCCTCTGAGGAGCGCGGGTCCTCCCTGGCCGCCCAGCTCCCAGGCGTGTTTGTTTCTGAACTCTGGCTTGTTTCTGCCAGGACCGAGCACCATGTATGTCCCTCATGTAGGCTGGAAGCCCAGCTCCCCTTCCCAGTCCCCAGGTCCCGCCATCCCCAGATTTCCTGCGTCTGCTCCTTCCTTGCCATCCCCTTTGTCCCTTTCTCACGCGGGCCTGCATCCCTCACTGCTTGCAGTGGTATGTGCGCTTTCTTCCGCTCTTCCTTCCCCCAGCACGTGGGCACACGTGCACACACAACACATGCACACGTACATATGTGGGCGTGCACACAAACACACTCGCACACACGCACACACACAGCTAACAAACCCAACAGGCTGGGTGGCTTCCAACAGACATTTACTTTCTCATGGTCTGGAGGCTGAAGTCCAAGTCCAAGGTGCCGGTAGGTTTGGCTCTTGGTGAGGGCCAGCCTCCTGGCCTGCGGACCATCAGCTTGCCGTGTGCTCACGTGGCCTTTCCCTGCAAGTGAGCAGAGGATCGAAGAGTGAAAGGGAGTTCTGGCCACTCTTCCTCTTCTTATGAGGGCACTGATTGATCAGGGGCCACCTATGACTTCTTCTGATCCTAATTACCTCCCAGAGGCCCCACCTCCTAAAACCATCACACTGGGGACTAGAGCTTTGACATAGGAATTTTGGAAGGATGCATTCAGTCTGTCACATGTACACACAGCCATCCCGTACCCCAAACACACCATGCAGAGCTCGGCCCAACTCATTCTCCCAGGGCGAACTCCAGGCCCTCTGACGTGAAATTCAGGGCTGAACCACCTCGCAGGCCTACCTCCGCCTCACCTCTCCATCACCCTCCAGCCCCCACTCATGTCCTCAGGGAACCCCCCTTCCTTTCTTTGTTCAGCCCCGTGCCTGTCCCAGTTTCAGAGACGCACACAGTTCCACGTTCTGTGACCATAAGGATGAGAGTTGCCTCTTCTTCTTGGGCTCTAAAGCAAGGACAGCTCGATGTTTGGCAAAACACATTTGTTGAGCCAATGAATTCCCGTCCCAAGAAGTTCTGGGGTGGCAGAGGCAGGTCAGCGTTGGCTCCAGACCTCCCAGGGCCCAGAGCTCTTCCCGTCGGACGTGGGGGGTTGTAGTGCCTGAAGCAGCGACGTGGGCCTGGCCCCCCAGAGATGGTGCGGCAGCTTCGAGCCCGCTCTGCATGCGCGAGCAAACAGGAGGGATCGTTTGCAGAGCAGTGTCTCCCTGCCGGTGTGCTGACGAGCTGGAGGGACAAAAAGGAAGGGTCTCCATTTGCCGTCCTCTCCCCAGAAGTCTAGGAGGCCCTGAGGTGAGGAAGGAAAACGAGAACTTTGTCCTTCCCAGCGGCTTGCTCGGTCATGAGACCCCCGAGGTCAGAGCAGGTAAGCGAGAAGGGGAGAAAGCGGAACCTGGAGCAGAGCAGGGGTGCCGAGCGGCCCTCTCCCAGGTGACTCACAGATGCCTTCAGGCTCGGCTCAGCCAGCTCATGGAGCCCTGGACTCCACTCACAGAGGGGACCTGCATGTCCAGGGTCACCAGCCGGTGACGCTGTCCATCACTGGCCAGCGATGTTGCCCAGACCAGGCCCTGATCCCTGGCTGGCTGGTCCAAGCTTCCTGCCAACACCCTGTAAATGTCAGGCCTGTCCCTCTGTCCTTTCATGGACCTCCACCCTTCCCAATGGACACCTTCTCTAGAAGACACATGAGCCTTGACCCCGAACGAAAGTGACTCCTTTGGGGTACATTATATTGTGCTGGCAAAGAGAAAGTTGTAGTTGTTGTTCCAAAGGCCAGAAGGTCTTCTCCACTTTCTAAGAAGGATGGGCCTGGGGGCTTAGAGTAGCTCTGGTTTTTTAATGGTTAATGGTTTTGCTTAAAAAGCAGACAGTGTGGCCCCAAGGTCAAAGCAGGAACTTCTGGACTTCCTCTTTCATTGATTCACTTAACAGAAGTATGAAGCATTTGTGTTTTTGTAGGTTCTGTGCTAGGACTTTTTCCTACCCTCCTATGACCTCTTGTTCTCGTCTTCAGGTCCTGGGAGTACTAATAGAATTCGTAGTAATAGCGGACATTTTGGTCAGGGTCATCATGCACTAGACACTGTTCTAAGCTCATTAACTGTCCTATTTCTCACAGCACTCCTCGGAATGAAACCCATTTTACAGATGCAGAAACTGAGGCACAACGAGTCAGGCATCTGGTGAGACAGAGGCAGCATTCAGATTCGGCTGGTCTGATGCTACGAGTCCAGCCATAACCAACAAGCCACACCGCCCAGTGGTGGGGCTGCGAGCCTTTGAGCTGGGAGGGCCTCGGGGCTTCGAGGCCCCCACTTCTCCGCCTGGCTGGTTGTTGGAGGCACTTGGGGAACTTTTGAAAGTTGATTCCCAGGTGCCTTGCCAGGGTTTCGGGCCCACAGGTCTGAGGGGGCTCAGGTGGTGCTGACGGCCAGCCTGACTGAGAACGCCTTGCCTCGCCTTCCCTTCCAGAGGAGGCAGCCGGCCTCTGGATGACTGTCAAATGCCCCGGAGAGCCAGGCTGGACCTCTTCCGTTTGTTACCGGCTCACCCACTTAAGCGTGCACACACCGCGTCCTCCGTGTGCTGGAAACAGACTCAGAGGCCGGAGTGTGGGAAGGTCGAACCTCAGTGGCCTCAAAGACCCCGAGCCACGGATGCGAGCTCTATATGGAGAAAACCCTGCAGGAACGCAAGAGGCAGAGAGAGGGGCGTCAGAGAAGGCTTTACACAAGGTGGCATTCGAGCGGGTCTCGGGGGGAGGAGCCCGGCAGGAAGAAAAGGGGGTGAGAGGGTGGGGGCACGGCAGGCAAAGGTGCAGAAGCAAAACGGAGTGTCAGGCCGCCCGCAGGAAAGCAGCGTGGGCGGCCTGAGATGAGCAGTGAAAGGTGATGAAAGAGAACTTACTCGGTCCATCGCGACCCTGAAGAGCTGACCACAGTCTCATTTGTGCCAAGTTTTTACAGGCCGGGCTTGAGGCCGAGTCAGGAAGAGGGCTTCGAGATGCCTGTCTGTGTCAGGTTTGGTCAAGGAGAGAGCCTTTTTTGGCGGTGGTGGTGTGTCGGCCAAGGTTTTCCGGAGAAAGAGAGCCGATAGGACATATAGAGATACGTGAGAGGAAATTGATTATGGGAACAGGTGCACACAATTTTGGAGGCTGAGGTAGGCCATGGTGTGCCTCTTCTGCAAGATGGAGAATGAGGAAAATGTGGTGTAATTCAGTCGGCGTCCAAAAGACTGAGAACTAGGAGCTCGGATGTCCAAGGACAGGAGAACATGGATGTCTCAGCTCGATAACAGAGAGAATTCGCCCTTTCTCCATGTTTTTGTACTATTCGGACCCTGCACAGATTGGAAGAGGCCCACCTGCCCTGGTGAGGGCGGAAGGGTCGTGATCTTTACTCAGTCTACTGATTCAACTGCTAACCTCTTCTGGAAACCCTCACAGACACAGCTCAAAATGATGTTTTACCGGCACCCGGGCGTCCCTTAGCCCAGGCAGGTTGGCCCGTCCTGTTAGCCAGCACAGTCACCGTGGGAGCAGCAGGTTGGAAGATGACTCTGGAAAGGAAGACTGGGGACGCCTTGTAAACAGGTTTGCCCGCGTTGTCAAGAAGTGGGGTCTTGGTGCCCCTCAGGTGAGAGGGGGTTACTCCCCAGGTGTGTTAGGGAGGGATGACAAGGTCTGATCTGCAGGGGGAACAGGTCACCAGATGGTGGGGAGGACAGACTGTGGACAGGGAATGAGGACAGAGGAAACCATAAGACCCAGACAGGAAGCAGTAAGATCAGAACTGCCATGAAAATGGCAATAAGGACAGAAAAAAGGCAATGGCTTTGAAACAAACTTAAGAACTTGACTCAGCAGGACCAGAGAGCTGATGAGATGCTGTTAATTTAAGGAGAGAGAAAAACTCTAAGTTCTGTGGACTGGGCCCGCTTTGTGACCCCCCACGCCTTGTGCCCTGAAAATAGAGAGGATCTGATGGGTCATTCGTCAGGCGCCCCCCAGCCCCCGCACACTGCAGGCTGCCAGCCCCTCGGGTGCGCCCTCCCGTGCCTACTGCAGGTTTCTTGCTGTTTATAACGAGCGCCTTGAAACCAGGCACTTGATCTAGTACAACAGGAAACTGGAAATAACGTGGGAGGTTACTGGAATGCTCTGTTAAAGAAATTATTGCCGTAGTCAACACTTCTGATCAAAATAAATTAAACTGACAACAATGTGATTAAGATGTTTATGCACAAAGGAAGTGTTGTTGCTGCTCATGGAAATTCCTTGATATGGGGTTTTTGATGGATATGTTTAACCTTTACTTGGGTCTTGTTTTCGAGGTGATTCCTTGCCTCCCCCCACCCCCAGTTTTGGAGCCCATCGGCTGGCGTGTGGATGGCTCTGTTCTGAGCATTTGATCCGGTCATTTGAAAGCAAAATCAGCATTTCTGCAGGACACACGCAAACACACGCAAACACATGCAAACACATGCAAACACGCGCACACCCAGAGAGCTCAGTTAGAGCTGCCCGAGAGAAAGAAGTCATAGTATCAGTAGGATTAAATTTTGTTACTACGTTTTTCAGTTTAGAACCATTTGCAGCTGCTGAAGCCCCCTTAATTCCGGGCAAATATCGAGCTCTGGTACTCCAGCGACAGCCCCGTTCGGGATCCAGTTATATTCCTGTACTCAGGAATCCGGAGTCTGGAGTTTTCAGGCCCCAGGGGACGGGGCGGGAGGGAGGAGAGGTGGTTGCAGAATTTCGAAGAACATAATAACCTCATGCTCTTCCTTTTCTTCTGTCTCAGGCAGCATCTCGCTGGTCATTTACTACAGCCTGCAGCCCCCCAGCTCCACAGACAGGTGGCAGGGCTGGTGTGGCAGGGCCTGTCTGGGAGTCGTGTGCCATCCCAAGGGGAGGTAACGCAGGCACGGAAGCCCCTCCCCGGGCCTCGGCTCCAGCTGGGGAGAAGCTGGGGAGCCTAGGCACTTGCCAGGGGGAACGTCACGAGTTCACCTGCCAGGGGAAGGCCCCTAGCCCACTGTGGGGACCCCCCGACGCTGGGCTAGAAAGCCGGACTGCTCTGGATGATTCTTTCCTCAGTCACCATCACGGCTGTTGGTGTGACTTGCCCTAAAGACACAGGAAATGTTTCTAAGATCGACGCAGCCTTTGGAGAAGACAGTCCTGGCCACTTTCATCTCCTGGCATCGGGGGTGAACCAGCCCTAGCCCCAGTAAAGGACACCCCTGTTTTCCCAGCCAGAGCTCCCACTGTTACCCCAGGACCCCCGTCCTCAGAGAAAGGCTCTGAGTTTCAAGGTGTCCTGACCTCAGAAGCAGACATGTTGGAAACCTCCAGTTTTGTCTCCTTTGCCAGTGACGGTCGGGACCCAGCTCCTGCCCAGAAGCAGTCCACAGGACAGAGGGAGTACAACCTGGAGGAGGGGGCCGGGGCTCTTTCTCCAGGGCGGAGCAGGAATGCAGGTGGGCGGAGAGGAGGGGAAGGACCAGAGGGCTACACATTGGACTTCAGTGCCATGGTAGAGGGGGGCCGGGCAGGCAGGCAATTCTGCCGACATCCCGCTCCCCTTGGCTGGCCACGTGGCCCTTCCCTGCTGCCATGGCTGACATCAGCCCGATCCTAGGCCTGGGACCTTCCAGAAGCTTCCGCCCCATCGTGGGCTGCGTTGGCAGAGCCCTGAGCAGCTCAGAGCATGGGGAGCAGCAGGAGCCCACACGGGGCCGGAACCTTCCTGCCACTGCTGGGACACGGATCTCATGGCCAAAGGTGAGTCTGCAGCCTGCAGACAATCCTTGCCTCACGTCCACTCCCAAGTGTGAGGCTGCCCACCGGGACTGCTGACTTTCTCCTTCCGACCACAGACTGGTCATGCAAGTGGGTCACTGGGTTTGGGGACAGGAGAATCCCATTTCCGATACCTTGTACCCCCAGTGCACCCCCCCGTCTGGGCCTGTTGGCACAACCGAAGCCTGGGGAAACTGGAGTGGACTATTTCTAGGTGTCCCTGCAAACAACGCATATGCGTAGGACACACTTCCCATCACGGTGTGGGGGAGGGGAGGGGCTTCCATAAAATCGCCTGCTTCCTTTTATGAACGATATGATCCTTCTTTTATTTTATTTTACTTTATTTTTGTGACTCTGGCTTCTAGGAGATGCAAAGGTAAAACCCAGAGTTCTGTTTTATTCTGCGTTCTTGGTACCGTTCGCTTCTGCTGACACTGAGGGGTTATTAATCTCCGGAAAATGTGTTTTTCCTGCATCATTTTATGATACCTTGTGGGAAGATCCTAAACACGCAGCCCTCCTTCCCCAGGCCTGGCGGCCAGCAGCGATGACTCAGGTGGCTCCTCTCCACCCCGACCTCACACGGCACTGCTGTGCTCCCTCTTCCACTCCATCTGAGATGCTACCTATGGTCTCAGTTTTCCCCGATGTGGGTTATTTGTGGACAGGTGTTTCCATCACTTCCTTCAGAGCTGGCTGGAGAAGTGTGGTCAGAAGCCACGGAAGCAGAAGGCAGTGCCCACCCAGAGGGCTGGGTACTGTTTGTGGCTGGTCCTTTCTACCTGTGCCAGACACCTCTGGGTTAGGAACGATGGTCAAGTCCCAGAGAGGAACTGCAGTGTGACTTTGCAGGGAGCTGTCAGCTGTCATTGTCCCTGTTGCTGGCCATAGACGGCAAGGGCAGAGAGCAGACCGAGGCTCCAAACTTCTGGCACCAGAAGTAGGAGCGCCCAGACTGCTGGCTGGTGGAAGGAGTGTCTGCGATGAACCAGAGCTGGACCTCAGGAAAGCAGTAAAAACTGCAGGACCACTGCAGTAGCGGTTAAGAGGTCTACACCTGGACGCCATTCTGGATAGAGCATGGACGAGTGGGGACTGATGGGGGAGGAGTAGCGCGGGTCAGTGGACGGAAATGTACTGAGAGGAGGCGTGGGGCGCAAGGGAAAGACTCCAGCTAAACCAACCTAACAGCCTTCCTGCTGAAGGCAGGCCGGGGGGTCAGACCCCACCTGGGGCCGGTGGGGCTGGGGATCTTGACCAGATACAGATGGTGATGAGATCTTGAACGTGGAGGTTTCCACTAATACTGACTCAGCAGGATTCCTGCTAATACTGGACAAAGCATAGAGAAACGTGCAAGTATAGACCTAGTTGAAAAGTTCAGGGGAGCCTGAGCAGGGTTTGGTCAAGGGGACACTCTTAATTCAGAAAGTGTGGGTTGTGGCATTGGTGACTCAGCCCCGGATAATAGAAGGCACTTCTCAGGGCCAGGATGTCTGGCCTTTCCCCTCCCCTGCCAAAGGCTCACCAGGGACCAAACGCCCTTGAGCCCTTGAAGAAAGAGTTACTGGACAGAGGGTTCCACTTCCCTGCATGACCGGTCTTCATCTTTATGCTCTGGATGTGTGGGACACAAGTAAGACATTTTTAGAGGGAAAGGCCAAAACCCTTCAGGTCAAGAGCACCAGGGGCCACCTGGACTTGAACCAGCTGGGTTCATGACCCCTTGCAGCCAGGGGGCTGTACCCCATGGAGGTGGCTTAGTGAGAGGTGGGAGAAAGGGCTCAGGGTGGGCACCAGACCAGCTCCCAGACATCCGAAACTACTCCTTTACTCCCTAGAATATTAGGAGGAGCCGAACAGCTGCTTGCTAAGCTCAGCATTCTCTACTGATCTATCCAGCGGCCATCACCGCCCCCGTAAGTGGCCATCACCCAGAGCCTCAAAACACACGTGTCGCTCCCATGGTCTTGGCTCCAAGGGTATTTATCTTACGTCTGCTGTCGCACCTGCCCACATGGCTTTCTTGATTTCTTTAAGGCTACTTCACTTCCTTCTTATCCCATGAAGCCACAGGGGACGCAAGAAAGGGACTACCAGTACCCTTAAACACTACCGACCAGACAAAAACTACCTTCACTGCCGTTTCTAAAAAGCAGGAAACCCGGGTCTCTCCAGAACCCGAGGGATATTAGGGCCGACTCCCATGTTTCTACAGCGACTGTATGCTGCTAGCGGCCAGTTGTCTCCTTCAGCTCTTTGCCCCGGGGAGTAAGTAAGTCGAGGGGCAGCTCATGGCCAGCGGTCAGTCAACACGCAGTAAGTGGAATTGAACTTCTAGCTTTTTCCTAGATGACCAAGGATTGTACTTCCATAAGCAATGCTTCTGAATAGCCATTTTGGTTTTGTTTTTTATTTTTTTACTTTTTAAAGTAATCACACAGCCAATGTGAGGCTCCAACCCACGACCCCGAGATCAAGGGTGGCACGCTCCACCGACTGAGCCCGCCTGACCCCACTGAGCAAGCCGCTTTGGAGACGGGTGTTTGTAAGACCATTACAGACCCCCTGCCTTTTTGGCAGAGGACTTTGATCTTGTAAGAACAAGACCGATGCTCTTCTGCTTCCACAGAGTAATCAGAAGTCTGACCAATGGGCCGTTGACAAGGTTGTGGGATGTGGGGGATGGAGTTCTAGAAACGGGATGGCAGAGGACCCCCGCTGCCACAGGAGGAGGCCATCAGACTCTGGAAAGCTCTCGCGGCGGGACAAGCAGATTCCCTCTGTGCTGTTGGGGACGACCCCCCTCCTACCACTGCTGCCTTGGCCAGTCCGCGGAGGCAGGGGGCTGAACACAGTCTGCAGAAGTGGGCTTTCGCAGCCCCGTGGTGGGAGGGGGAGCAGAGCACCACCATACCCCTGACGCCTTGCACAAGCCCTCCAGCACTTGCCTCCCTACCCACTGGCCCCCAGGCTGTGGCCGTTGGGAAGAGGCTTCCACTTTTCCTTGTCTTCTGCACCCCTCCTGCGAACAAGAGGAGGGTAAAGCAATTGGTTTCTATTGACTGAGTTATTTAGATTCTGAGCTGACAGTGAAACGCTTTCTGTGACCTTCGCTGCCCCAAAGACATAATTCATTGCCAGTACTTCTATTAAGAAGCAGAAAAACAACTTTTAACTAGGGGGTGACAGATGCGACCCTTCTGTAATGTGCAGAAACAGCGAATCAGCGCGAGGGACACCTGAAACTAGTGCATGTCAGTTTCACCTCGATGTTGAAAGAGCAGAAAGGTGAGAACGGAAGTTGTGAGGTCTCCTGCGTGCCCATGACAGCAGCAGGGAGCCTGGCACAAAGAGGACACTTGAACACCTTGTCACAGCTGCTATCGGACAGGTGCGGAGCAGCACGACAGAATTCGATTGGATGAAACAAGGTCAAGTTCCCTCTTTAAAAGCAGGGGTTCTGAGTGAGCTTGGAACGGAAACACACGCACCTGCGGCCTCCAGCAGCGCGCACTTCCTTGTCCCTCTGGGGTCTGCGGGGCCTTCCCGGGGCTCTGCCTCGGGTGCCGGTCAGTGCCGTGCGCTCCACGTCCCGGGGAGAGGAGCAGTGGACACACCGGCCAGGAATTCCCTGAGGACCGGGCGGCAGCAGGCCACCCTGCCAGTCCTGCCCATGCTCTGTGACCTCAACCACTCATGTGGCCAAGCCCACCTTCTGTGGAGAGAGGGGAATAGTCCAGCCCCTTGGGCTGAGTTTCTCCAGCCGCTGGGACTGGACTTTGTTGCCGAGTTAGTGCACGTCCAACAAGACTCTGAATTCACGACTCCAGAAAGAGATGCTAGACATACCCCTAAGCCTCGGCGTTTATGACTCCAGAGATAGATTCGATATTCATGTCCTGATGGATCTTTTTAGACATCAAAAAGGAGGTCTGATATCCATTTCTCTCATTGCTCTACAGCCTTGTCCTGGGGTTCCTGGACCAATGTTTTTGGCTCTGGCGTTGGCCATACTGGCCTTCGTTTTGATTCTGTATTCCTTCCTTGCTCTTGACCCCAGGCAGCGTACAGTTCCTAAGGACGGCTCTCACAGCCCTGGGAAAGGCAACCAGAGGAACCTGAGAGAAGATCCAGAAGGGGAGACCCTTGGATAGGGCGTTATGTGGGGGCTCAGGTAAGGAACCCCTGATCCCAAGATGGGCTTCTGACTTCCTTCTTCTGCATCCTTTTCTTCTTCTGGCAGAGAGAAGAGGGATTTGCTAAGCAGCCAAGATTCTGAGGAAAGCCTCGAGGTGGTGGGACCTTTGGCAGCAACCCCCTAAGGGGGACCTAAACCCCCGTGTGATGCCTCGTTCTGCTTATGCTTCCAAAAGACCAGAGGAGAGGTTAACCTCTGAAATTGTTAGCCAGATTCGTGGTTTGTTTGGTTTTTCACATCACATTCTGCTGCGCCAACCGTGAGACTCGTACGTTCTTTTTGAGCTGTTTCCTGAATATGTTCTCAAGTTAAATGCTGATTATGCTTAGGTATTTTAAGCATCAAGAAGGGATTTTACTTTAAACCTCAGTCTGGTTGTTCTCTTTAAAATAAGGTTATTACTTTTCTGCCCTTCTGAACTTAATTCAATTTTCCATACTATTTATGATGACCAACTATCCTGGTTTTCCTGGGGCTGGAGGGTTTTCTGGGATGCAAGGTTTTAGGGCTGACACCAAATAGTCCCAGGCCAGTTGGGATGGCTGGTCACCCTAATACCTGTCAGCCCTATTCACTTTCTGTCCTTTAATGTAACCACCAACTCAGAGAGGAGAGGACATACTCCCTGGTTAAAAATCTGGGAAACTGGACAAGTTTCCTGACATAAATTTCTAAACCAGCAGATCCCTATCCCCTACCCTTGTCAATCTTGCAAAAAATCAATTTGACTAATATCCCCCTTGCCAATCAGGCCTACCAAAGTCAATACAGTCACTGACTTCAAGCTCTATGGATGCCAGGGGAGATCCTGCTCGAAAGTCAAAGCTATAATCCAGATTCTAAGTTAACATCTCTCAGGGAGGAAATCTCCCATGGAAAATACCATGGAAAAATCCATGACTTTGACCACACAGATACATTCATTATGGCAAGACTATAATCACAACATTGCCCGTCAGGGTTTCCATTATAAACGGGGTCTGAATCTTGGTGGAGCACAATTCTTTCCAGCTGGAGTAAAGCATGGACAGGTTTTCAGCCCATTGGGGATTTTTCTGATTTGTTTGCAAATTGGCAAGCCTGGGGGTGGGGGAGGAGGGAAAGTGGGGGAAGCTGAGGCTGGGAACAGAATAAACAATATGGACTTTGTTCTTAGTTCTTTAAACTGAAACTAAGAAAACACAAACAGCAACCAACCAAGGTCAATGAAGGGCATCACTGAGATGAGATAATTCTGTCTTTAAAGGCAACACTTTGTCTTTAATTTACTTTAAAGTAGGGAATGTTTGATAAAAGAACAAGGATGTGCTTCTTCTTTTTTTTTTTTTTTTTTTAATTTTTCCTATACCTGAGGTTTAGTCAACCACAAATGTGAGCTTTGGGCTCTCCGTGCCTTCAGGGAAGCAGCATGATGGGG